ATATATACGTACATACATACGTACATACATACATACATACATACATATTATATAAATATACATATGGCGCAACCCAGAGGCTTCCCAACAAGAGGCCCAGAATCGCTGGAATACGCTTTCAAGGGTTGGGGGTACGATGTCGTGGAAGTGTACAGAGACAAGAACAAAAGCAGTTTGGAGGTCGGTTTGGGCCATGGCTCACATGTGGGGGGCCCACCTTGCGCCGACCTTGCGCGTTGCTTGCGCGCGATGTCCGGTATGTCTACGTATTTTCCGAGGTTCCCAGGCAAACTTGGGAGATGCTGTTCTGCAATGCTCCATGCCGAATCAGAACGACACCTCCCACTTGGCAATTGCGAGGCGGCGGCGTTGACGGCTCGACCCTTGCCATGACTATGCTACTCGTCAAGTCGCCGTACTTGACTGCAGCAGCTGCGCAAGTGTAGGTGACCTCATAACCGCAAGCTTGTGCGGCAACGGACTCTACGCAACGTAGACCATCTTAACCTAGGTAGCTTATACACTGCTTATTCCCTTGCGCTCGCCCTTGCGCGCGCTTGCGCCGTGCCGTGTTTGGAGCAGGTCCCAAACCTGAATCAAAATACTAAAGCGCGCTGTTAGTCTACGGTCAAGAGCCGGGGGTTTAGAACAATTTTCATATATTGTTGCAATGCGGTGGCCTCCCCCTCCTCCCCCTAATGGTCCGATAATCCCCGTATCCTCTTTTCTGGAACGGGTTGGGCTGGCCTCGAGCTTCCGAGTTTACTTGGCATGGTGACTGGGGCTAGACCATTCATACAAACATGGTCCTCCCCATGTTCCTACCCGGATGTGGATTTTGATCGCCTGTGTTGATTGTGCAAAAGGTCAAGCAAGGCAGCGACTCTCTCCGCTAGGCGTATACCGCGACAGAAGCACTGTTCTGTGCGACATCCCCCCACGAAAAAGACAACTTGTACCCATAATAGAATGAATTCTAAGCTCGCCTACGGCATAATCGAGATTTAATTGATGCAAACTGCAAATTACGTGACAATCAGTCGTTGTTTGGATAACATTTAATCACACCTACATATCTTGCACTTGATGCAACTCCAATAAGTGTTTAACTACGGCATATAAGCTATTTCCAAACATCAAGTGAATATGCACGTAATGTAGCGTCCAACTGGATTTCGCTCTGAATACCTACTGTGATTTCGCTGTGATTCACTCAAATTGTAGAGAGTCTGGCTTATTGTTCAGATAAACATACACCAAATAGCAGTTCAGTACTGGCTCATCCGTGGAAAATTGACAGAAGATAACTATAAGGTTATAAATACGAAATGGTCACGGGGTAATGACATCATAACATGTCAGATGCACTGCCCAAAAATCAATTTGTGGGTATTGCTTCGATATGAGTACACTTGCATAACAGATGCATCATATACAGTGTCAAATGTCACGGACAATCAGTAAATCAACTGGGTAGTAAGTAAATAACTCACATTACACATTGTTGACATGTCAAATCACTGTGACTGAACCTTTACAAATAGTTGTTGCACATAAGTTATCGCATTTACTTGTAATTAATGTTGACTGACTGTTGGCTATTTTATGGTTAACCGTTGTAATATGCAATAATGATGACATCCAGCTTCTATTCTTACATTTTATGCGAACGGCAATCCATGACGAAAACTCTGAGCACATAAGCCAACCACAGGCTAACTAAGTGAAGAGAAAGTCTTCCTTTTCGTTTACAGTTCCAACGCAGATAGTTTCAAGCCCCACTGTTGAACAACCACTGGGATCAAACGAAGGCTTCAACACGTGTTAACTACAAGCTATCTTATCATACGGAACTTTCGGATACATCGTTCGTAAATGGTAAATGCTAAGCACGGATACGTTCGATATTCGTGTAAAGTTAGAACCATGACCCGAACACCGCTTCATTCCAGTACTACGCAAATGTTCAGATCAGTGTTTGTGGCTTAACATGAACAAGTAAAGTAAACAATAAGTACTTGTAGTTGATTCTTGACAACGAAGCTATCATGTCGTAGTGTGCCACCTAACATGATAACTTTCTTGATGTTGCCACCGGGATCGGCGTTTCCTTGCAACTTTCTTGGTTCAATCTCGTGGCTTTGCATGTGAATAATTGTCTGTATCTGACATGACGCCAGTGCCAAGACAGGCCAACATAAAGCAGGGCATTCGACTTTGCTGGTGTAAATCTGACAAATCCAGATGATGGAGGCCAACATCCTCATCATCGACGGTGTGTTCGACTTTCATTCTGCGCCACCACACTGGAATGTATAGGTGTTTGGACCAATAATGGACGCCAACGAACGACATGTGACACGAGTAAGATATCCCCCTCTCCCCAACACTCTCAAAGCAGGAGCGCAACAGCGACATTTAACAAACAAATCTGCGCTGCATCACTTCTCTACAGAAACCTCCCCCACCCACCCACCCGCCCGCCCACCCAGCCCCGTGAAGCCGGGTGAGCCAATAAGCCACAACAGCGCGAAGCAAAAGCTGCTAGGCCAAGAGCATGAACAAAGCTGAATGCCACAAGAACCAGAAGCTGCAAGCCACACAGCCACTGACAAAGTGTGAAACAAAAAGGTAGCCTGAACACAGGAATTCTTTTATTTTTCAACATAACCACTTATGCTAGCTAGGAGCACGCTACCTGCAAAAGGCGCTCCTTTTCCTGCCCGAAGCCAAAGTTCGGATCAAGGCCGGCTCCAGGCACACACATGCTTACACGATCAGGTCTCACCGCTACCGGCATCTGATTTCACATCGATCTTACTTTCTTTTGAGGACCTGAAGATCGTGATAAGCACGGCCGCTTCCCGGTCGAGGCTGTTCAGAAAACGACTATACCGCTGGTCCCGCTTAAGAGACGAGGATCAACGAGCAGTTCCGGTCGCCTGTAGTCCATGGTCGCGGCCTTCCAGCGCTCCTTCGCCGCCTTAGCCAAGCTCTTGCGGAGTCGAAGGAACCATTCACGAGGAGCATCGCTGAGACCAAACACTCCCTTCAGCATTCTTGACAGCCGCCATCCAACGGGTTAAGGCGGGTAAGGTCGGACTTCCTCCCTGTTGCGAACATACAGCTCGCGGGCGCCATCAACGTACTTCTCGCCCTTGAGAAAGGCACTCTTGACATCCGCCGTGCCAATGCGCCACTTGTGCTTCTTACAGCTGCTCACCGCTGCGGAGAACAGCAAGTGCTGCGAAGTCCGGGAAACCGTTTGGGGCGTCCTTCCTGAGTTCGTAGGCGGTCAGGTCCTTGTAACCAGGAACCGCCAGCCGAGCTGAAGCCCGGATCGGAAGGTCGTGGGTAGCTGTGCGCACATCGTTCTTGTCCGTAAAAACGAAGCGGGGCTGCAACACGTTGTGAAGTTCGCCTCTTTGGCGTAGCGTCGCCTCTACCCTTGCAGACTCGGCTTCACTGAGCACTTCAACAGCCTCGTTGCGAACCCAAACGTCCCAAGTCCCAAGCCTCCTGCGGTGAACGCAGCCTTCTGTTCGGCGTTCATGCTGTTCCAGTGGTACTCCTTGCTCGCAGCCTGGACAGCTGAAGCATCTCTCCCGGTGGGCCATCGCATTCCTGCTCGCACGTGTGCCTCGTATTCGGCGCGGGTCGGCAGGGGCCAATCACCCAGCCAAGTCCCATGATCGTCAACCTTGCCGCGGTTCCCCTCCATCTGCCAAAGCTTGAAGACGAGCAGCAGGGTGCACTTCACCTTCAGCTGCTTGAGCTATGGCCAGCACCTCAGACTTTTTCAACGAGAGCGTGTCGAAAGGGACAAGGCTCTCGGCTCTCGGCACCTGCTTGTCCTTGTCGAAGAGCTTCCACTTCCAGGTCTGCGGGCCGCTTAGTCCCGCCAGCGCCTTCAGAGGTGTCGTCACTAAAGGGCTCCACCGGAGAGGCAGGAGCTGGTACAGAGCTAGCCACAGCACCGGTGACGCACTCAGGTACAGGAGAACCGGGAGCTCGCGTGGGACCACCACCTTGTGTAGACGCCTTGGGGAAACTGCCGGCGTACTTGCGCTGGTCGCCCGCACCAACTCACCAGTCGTCACCGGAGGCAAGTCAACACCACCGGATGACCACGACGATACATGGCTCTGCGAAGCTTCTCACCGAAGTTCAGGCTATCACCAAAATTAGACCCCCCAGGTTCTAGATGTGCTTGTTGTTCCGAAAGTCCGGCGCCATCATTAAAATTAGCCTCCTGACTGAGGCCATCTCCTCGGTTGTCGTTGTGGCCCTCTTGTAGCCAGCTGCTCGGACTTTGAAGATGAGGCCCACTAGGTTCTACACGTGCTTGTTGTTCAGAGAGTCCGGGGCCATCGTCTTCGCAGGAGCGGGCGCCAGTTCTTCATCATCCGCTTCACGGCGGGGCTGGGTCTCAACTAGCTCCCACTCTTGGTCTCGATTCGCAGCATCCACCACTTCTTGCACCATGCTGTCCCACTCACCAGAAGCCAGCTGCTCCGTCGGAGAGGCCCGCCGAACATGTTCCAACGCCACCTTAGTCAAGGTCCCACGGGCCGTCACGTAGCAGTTGTTGCCCTCAGAGGCCACCAATAAAGCCGGCCGCCCGTGCCAGTTTCGAAGTAGTAGTCGCCGTTGACTTTGATTGCCACGGCGGTTGTACTTCTGCTGCCGCCAGTAGTAGACAAGGTCACCGACGGCTGGGGCGCTCTCAGTACTGGGGTTGCGTGACCGGCGGCCTCGACTCGTCTCATTGCCTTGCTGGAGCGCAAGCGCAACATCGCCATCCGAGCCGTTTCGCGAACTGCCACCAATCTGGAAAAGGCGCCAGGCTCCCTCCTGCGCATGGCATCGATCTCACCCAGACGCCCATTGCCCAGGGCGTCTCTAGGAGGTAAGGGTTGTCTGCCCACAGCCTGCATCGAGGAGAAACTCTTCCAAGGCATGCGAAACAAACTCACGCCCTTGATCACACACCAAGGTCCTCGGCATGCCGAACACAGGGGCCCAGCTCTCACGAAGAAGTCGAACTACTTCCTCTGTAGACTTCTTACCACAATCACGGCCATCTTGAAATGAGTCACGATCGACGGCATGGAGGATCGAGTAGCGAACTCCAGCGGCATCGAAGCTGTCGAAGATGTCCACGGCCACTTGGTCGCTAGGTTCTCGGGGTCCAGAGGCCGGCCTTTGCACTTTCGGGGGCCTGCGCTCCTGACATAAACTGCATCGCAACTGCTTTGCAGCAATCACCGCCTCCATCGAAGCGCCCGCGATCACCAAGGCTCGGGCCAGCCGTTGAGGACTGCGATGCCCGGTGTTCTCGCGCAATCGGTGAACGGCTTGCCTCACAGCGGTGGGAATCACCAAATCAGACTTCAGCTGGGCCTCGTCGCCTGCGTCCTCGGCCTGCGTGTCCGAGCCGTCCGGGCCCACAAAGTCCTGCTCATCCGCCACCATCGTTGCGGTTGCGCGGGCATCGTCTTCGAACTGCAGCTCCACGGCCCGCACCAACTTATCCATGAACTCCTTCGAGAAGTTGGGACCCAAATGTTGCCGGAGGGCTTCGGCCACCCGAGAGCTCGCGGTCAAGTAGCGATATCCATACCGGCAAAAATCGATCACCCTCCGCCCATCCAGCAGCTCCTTGCAACCGTATCATCGGGTTTAGCTCGGCGAGCCAGTTCCACGAGAAAATGTCGGCCGGAGCGATGGTGAGCCAGGGCCTGCCGAAACAAGCTAGCACCGGCGTCTTAATTTTTTGTTTTCACCGTTGCGACTGGCCGACCCAGCAAGATAGTGCAGTAGGGGCGAAGGGCCCAGCACCCGAAAGAACCATGGCCTGCCTTGGCCGTTGCTGAAAACTGAAACTGCGAGGTGCAAAACCACCGAACCGGCCTCCACCAAAAGAGGCAGAAGAGGGTGCCGTGGCAGTTCGCGAAGCCGTCGAAGGAGCATACAGCACAAGTGCCACGGCCCATTGAGGATCCCGAGCTGTAGCCCCCGATCAAAGCTAAGCCGGCTAATCAGGGGTCCGATGAGTGGAGGTCCTTGAACAGCCTCAGCGCCTCCTGCTCCACATCCTCGTAGTTCTCCCGGCTCTGAAGTGCCGTCTCCAGCAGCTGCTTGCGCAAGGGGTCCAATCCAAGCTTCTCCCTCAGGAACCAGCCAAGCTGTTTTTTTGGGCAGTTCGATGCTTTCCTGCTTCAGCTCGGCCATCACAGAGCGAAAGCGACTCATGAAGTCAGCCGGCGGCTCTCCAGGTCGCCGCTGCAAGGCCAAGTAAAACAGGTTCCTCAGCTCGCCCTTGCGCTCTGAGGCGGTCCTGCCGTTGATGCCCTCAAGTGCCTTAAGCAACTTTGTCAAGCCACTCAGGGGATCCTCCGGCACCACGATAATCTTGACGCCGTCCGGGTCCTTCGTCTTGATTTCCGTCGGGTACTCTAAGTCCTTCGGGGAGAACTCCTCCCCACTCTGCCTGACAACTCCGGTTTGTCTTAGCAACCACCGCGCCGCCAGGTTATACTTCTTGGTGGCCTCGATGTCCAACGAAGAGATCCACCACTGCATCTCACGGTCAAAAGACCTCCAAGTTTCCGGGCTGCCGTCCCACGTAGGCACCTTGAACCATGCCGACGACGTTTTGTCCTCGCCGGTCATGCCGGACAAAAGGCCTGGCTCACTTCGGTCCGGACAGCCCTCAAGGCAAGCGAAGAGAATGTTCACGCGCCGTCAGCTAAAGAAGCTGGTGCAACCAGACAGCCGCAGAAATGACAGAGGAAGGCCAAGAAGCCGGAGCGGTCCGGACAGCCAAAAGGTAGAGGATGCCGGGGTTCGGGTCGGAGGCGTCTTCTAGAGCACACTGACCAGGCACTGGCCCCAAGGAGGTAAAAGAGGATGAAGAGAAAGTTCGAAGAAAGTGCCACTATGCTAGCTCGGCGCACGCTAGCTGCAAAAGGCGCTCCTTGTCCTGCCCGAAGCCAAAGTTCGGATCAAGGCCCAAAGCCGCGGGATCCAGGCACACACATGCTTACACGATCAGGTCTCACCACTACCGGCATCTGGTTTCACACTATCAGCAGCAGTGGTGGCAGCCTCTGCCAGGCTGCACTGAGCATGGACTCACAGACCATATGAACTTGGAGAAGGGAGTGAATGTAGCAAAAATCAGCAGCTGACTTTCCGTTCCCGAAGTGGTATTGCTCCACAATCCTGTCAACGTTGCAGCTCACAGCGACGGCCGCCTACTGCCACTCAGGGCACCATGCGCAATGCAAACACAACATAGCAGCCACCTCTGCCGCTCACGAATGCCGAAGCCTCAATGTCGGCATTTGAAAGCATTTGTGCTGCTTATCTAACTCCGGGCCCAGGTACATTCCCCGTCCTGTGATGCCCAACATGAACCGACGTGTTCGACACACTCAGCTGGCAGCAAGTGCAGCTGCAGTCGGACCATTCATTCCTGGCCGACTCTTCGGGTTGTGCCATTGGGGGCAACCGGAACGGTGATCTCAGGTGCAAAGCACGAAAAGCAGAGCAGGACAGCAGAAACACGGTCTGTGATGGCCAGGAGCTATCCGTCAAAGTGCAGAGTGGCCAGGCAGAGAGCCGGCCATCCCGGTCCCCGCATACCGCACTGCCAACCCCAGAACCTGCACGAGTGAGGTTGAGACGAGAAAACGAGAGAGAACTGACATGAAGGCACTGACCTCGCCAGTTATGGACCTACAGCCATGCCTTCACACACGTCCCACTCCTGGCCACGGCCTGAAACAGCCAGTGTCATTCAAGTGAAGGCTACAGCCAGTCTGCAGAAAATGAAGAGAAACTCAGGAATTTCCAACTTTAGGAACCATTAAAATAGGTGGTTTCCTGTCCTTTAATGCGGTTACAGCTGTTGGGTTATTGGTATTATTGCAATGTCAACGAAGGGAAAGGTAAAAGCACTAAGACATTAAGGTACCGAAATAGAGGAAAAGATGTCAAATTTTAAGTCAAAATAAGAAATGCATGAACACTTATGATTGATTACAAAGAAGCGAAGCGATGGAAAGTAAGAGAAGGAGAATACCAGTAATTATAATGCAGATAGAATAATAGAACAAAGAGAAGAAAGCCGAGGCCTGTAGCTGGCCTGCCACAGGAATTTGCCTGCCTCAGTCGACACTTGAAAGGAGTTTGGGCTGTCTTGATCACTATCCTATCAGACCACGGGCATAGCAACACATGGAGCTAACTAGCAGTCATAGAAAACTTTGACTGCTTTAAGAGTTGCTGTTTAATTCACCACCTGTTCTGTCGCTAGCACGCTTGGCGAGGGCTTCTGCCAAGTGGCACTTGATGGCTTCGATGTCGAAACCTGGGTCGGGCATTGACACGCGTTGTGGTGCGGAGCAGCCTGCTGCAAGTCTTTTCGGCAGCATGTTGCTAAAACTCACGGTCACAGGCGAGATAAGTGCTTGGCTTGAAGCCATATCCACAGGAAGCCGAGCATTCGGACCACTGCTTCCATTCTGGCAGACTCTGTGGAATTCTATCCTGTTTGGGTGTTGTGCACACTATGCAAGGCCTGACCACCGGGCATCGGTGCATCGCTCGAAGCATCGGTGCTGATTACACGGAGCTGCTTCAGACCTGCACAACAGGCTCGGCAACCGATAGAACGAGAGGGTGCTACGCAATGCTACCACGCATCTGGATAGAAGCTACTGCCGTCTCTCTGAAGGCCCCTGGCTTGTCGACTGGGTCACAGAGTTCTCCTCCACCTTTTGGGGAAACCTGCAAAGGCAGTGAACGACGTGCACATGACATGTCGGGATGTTGGGATGCCATGTGGCCTGAACCTGTCGATTTCTCCGCTTCGTCCCACCTGAAGCAATCCCGTACCCAGCACACCAGGGCAGACTCAAACAAGCAGCTTTGGCACTTGCTAATGCTGAAACGGATTCGGAAAGCATGTCAGAATGCAGCACCATGGCAATGCCATGCAATGCCTCCGCAGCTGCAGGAGCAGCCGCTCCACGAATCCCACGCTCCCCACCTCAGAGAGCCCAGGCCCAAAAAAGGCTCTTGTATGTCAACCGAGAAGCACAACATAACATTCACTAAGAAACGGTAAGGGCAATATAACGTTGGCTGAAGTTGTTAGACAGCTACGGAGCATCTGGCACACTACTTATGCTGCTTCTGTTTCCGAGGCTGCAGCTGGCAGTCTTGTTCGCCGCAGCCGGGTCCCCTGCATCTTGAGAAGAGACTGCTTTGTTATGCTGGTGACTTCTCAGCATACGCTCTCTCCTAACATGAGAATGAGGACCAGGCGTGCAGGATACCACTTGCATCATGACGCCGCTGCACCCTCGACCTTGCTTGGACTTGCTCGTCCAAATCCAGAATCAGATGACGTGAGAAAAGACATAATTCCTGCAGCACACCAATGCATGCGCTCGAACGGGCTTTGTCATGTTGGCTTTCTGTGCTAGCATCGCACCTCCCTCACCGGCACGTTGCAACACCTCAAGTCTTCTCACGAAGCCCGCCCTACCCGAAAATCGAGTTGACTTCCGGTTCCCACGTGACTTGCCAACCTCGCGCTCACGCTTCCTGACGCCATCTTCACACTGTGCCGTGCAGGCACTCCTGGCATGGGCAGAGCATGGCAGAGTAGCGGAATCTGTCTCCTAGGCTGCTCCCATGACGTAATTTGGGTCTCCATCATGAAGTGAACCAGCCTTCGGGCATGCTGATGATTCTTGCAGTCGCTTATAGCACAGCGCGCCCTGCTGGGTGTAAGATCACGCCGGCCGCGCCACGAGCGCCACCTTGAGGCGGAGGAAGGCAGTGAATCCAAAAGTTAACAAAACCTTAATTCCGGAATAATTCCCCGGCATCGAGCCGTCTTGGACCCCTTCTTGAACGGCGAGACAGTTCAATCGTGATTTAAGTGCTGATTAGACAGCCGCGATCATAAGCAGTCAGGTCAAGAGTCAAAACCGAACCCAGCTCATAGCGAACACCGTTTGCCCACTGCGTGACGGAAATATAATTTTAAATCGATGCGTCGGCCAGATCATCTCATGGTATGGCAGCAAAACTTGTTTGTTGGTGTAAAGGATTGTAAAGGCATGGTTGGAAGCTGCGGGCAGTGTGCAAGGAAAAGGAATCCAGGTGAGCTGGCCGAGATGGGAAGGGATTGCATTGACACAGTCGCAGGTCGAAAGCCCACAGCAGCCAACTCTCGGACTGCACGGGACAGCGTTAAGGGAGCCGATGGGCAACCTGGAGCTCGGAAGGCTTTCAAAGAGCTCGCAAGTCGTCTGAGTCTAGCGCTTCAACGCTCGAATCGTTCGCTCATCGAGTGTCGGCGAAAGTCGTGTGCTTTCTTGTGCGCGTATGTGCAATTTCGGCCGCTGAGCTACTGAAACGTCTACTGTAAACAGGACCCCGAGACAAAACCGCTCACAAGCCGAGTTGGTCATTGACATATCTTTACGGTTGACGCACTGCGCTGAGGTTGGAACGGCGAGAGGATGCAGTCATTCTGATTGGAGTGGCACGAATGCCTTTCAGCAGAAGACAACTGTGACATTCTGGTGTTTAGCAACTTTATCACTTGCCTGAAACCGAAGCATGCTGCTGATTAACTCACTAAGCGACTAAGCGCCTGGCGTGTTGCAACCCCGGATCTGCTTCATCTTCGACTGTGGGCACGTGCCTCAAAGGATAGCAGGATCACGAAGGCAAGGCAATTCGACATGGAACCGCGAACCTCCGCTGTGAGCAGGATGAATCCTCAGCTCATGCTACACAAACTGATGGCACTGGCTTCAAAACAGCACCGAAGGAGAGCAAAGAGCAACGTCGCAGGTACAGCGCGATAACGAGCTCTTTCAACTTTCCCCGTGACGCATTTTGACGGCTCTCTCGCGGGCCCCCCACCTCTTAATCGCAAAGCAGAGCAGAGACAATCGGGCTTGTGTCTTGCGGTTGGTTGATGGGCATAGTATGGCACAGTCATCAAGCAGCTTTGAGGGAGGGATTGCCCTCGAGAGCAGGGCTTCGCGAAACAGACCTGAAGCTGAAACTCAGTGCAAACAGCTAAGAACAAGATCTACTAGCCGAGGTCCATCGTGGTCCCATAACAAAGCACCTCTTGCAATGCACCTGAGCACCACGCAACTTCCGATGTCGAACTTGCTGACCTCCATCACAATGCTTGTCCTCAGAAGCGAAGCTGTCTGTCCTTGGGCCCCTTGTAAAATCCGAAGTTTACGTAGCAACCTCATGCGTGACTGAGCTTCTAGGCTGAGCCGGACCCAAACACCGTTGGGTGCTTCAAGGCTGCTTCTCTTGAAGACTCGAAACTACGGCAGCCTGCGTTTCGTTTCTGAGGCGAGTGCGCATGATGACCATTGATCCCACTGCGATATGACCTTACAATTACAAGCCAGGCTCTGGGCAAGAGAGCTTTAGGATGGGCTCCGTTGCTGCCGGAGGTGTGACCTGCTTTCGTGCAACCGCAGCCAGTGATTTTATCGCCTGCGTCAACTCAAGGTTTCACATCTCTCTATCTGTTTTATTTTGCCCTGAACCGAACCAGGAAAAGCAGTACCGGAAACCGTGGCCAGAAGCTGTAACGGGAACCAGGAAACTCCGCAAAAAGGAACCATCCACATCGAGTAGAAAAACTGTCCCTGCAGTGCCGGACACCACGGGAGACCTCTACCTGAAACCAGAAAGCGACAGGGAGACCTTCAAACCAGAACATCACAGAAATCCAACCAGCAACAACCCACAAGCTGAACCCCGCCACTGGAACATTCCGGAAGATGAGAGATCTCGTTCAACGTTCTTGCTTTGGCACGGTTGACAGAGACCTAGAACTCTGCATATTTCTGCTACACTGCGGGCCGAGTTTCTGTTACGAGTTCGCTGTTCCACGAGCCCGGCTTCCTTTACGTCAGTTCTCAAAAACCTCACACCTTCGAATGGAAGCAGTGCGCATCAGTGCGCCACTGCCAAGAGAGCCATGCCATTTTGCGGTTGACCGATCTCCAAAGCCGTCTACCAGCTGGGCTGCCGAAAGCAGGCTCCGGGCACAGTCAGAAGGACCGTGGCTGGTGCAACCCTCCATCCTGGCAACAGCCAGTCAATTAGACTGTATCAGTAGGCTGGAACAACAACATGCAACCGCTCAGTGCTTGCGATGGCAATAGTATCTCAACTTGAAGAATTCAGGCTGTGACTCGCGAGTCGTCCCACTGCAGCCGGCACCGTCGGAACCCGGTTGCTCAACCTGTGAAAGTGCCGAACACCAGCAAGACTGTCTGTAGGCTTCGTGTACAGTACGCAGGCACGGCTAAATGCAGTGGCTTTGGTAATTTCCGATGGAGTGTTGTACCCGGACATTTGCCAACAACAGCAACTTCAACAGACGGGCCCCGCAGTCTCGAAAACATGTGCACACCAACACGGAATGCAACCCTGCTGAATGCGGGCTTCTCAGCAGAAGTTTGCGAAAGTCCCTTGCTCTGCATGCACCTGTAATGTAACATAATTGCGTTTGGACTAATCATATCTAACCATTTTGGTGACGGAGATGTCACGGCCGTCACGGCACGGTACCGAAAAGCACTCGACACTTGGCATGACTTTTGATGTCTCGTCCTGGATTGCTGCTAACTTCATTAGGAAGAGCTGCCCGTCGGTGGCGATCTCGTTGAAATGGCCGGTATCCATCACATCCAGCCTCAATCCAAAGCCACTAAAGCCACTGGTCAGTCTAGTCAAGTCTAGGCTTCCGAAGCGCGCGGCAGCTCAGGCCGAGGCCCAGCTGGACCAGGGGCTGAACTGACAAGCCCTTAGATGCACGCTTTCGCTGACAGAAACAGCGGCTGTGAGCGCAAGTGGCCCGTCCTTCCAGCATGAACTACGTAACGTCTCTCTACGCCGAAAGCATTGAGCAGGCTGCAGACCATTGCATGGCTGCTCGTTGCCTCGGTCGGCAGCATTGTGGCAGTGCCGGATTCACAACCTCTCGGAGAAAAGCAATCAAGGCGTGCTGGGCTACTGACATGGGTGTTCCTCGCGAGTGGATCCAACGCAAGGCTTCCTGGCATCGCTTCGCTTGCATCGCTCGCTTGAGCAGCTTTCTGCTCAATGCGACCCACGACGTCATGGTTTTCACGTGTCGTTCTGGCAGCCGTCTGTCTTCCGGTCTGTGGCTCGAGCTGCAGTACAAAAGCGTGGAACAACGTCGACCACAGGGCCACAGGCCGGGTAACTACATGACCCACACTAAAGCCAGCTCTAGTTCCGCACAAGCCACCCTCCATTGGCTGAGAAGCGAATGATGCGGCGATCTCTGGTATGCCTCAGAGGCACTCCGAGTTTCGCCGCTAATGCTCACTTCAAGAGTTCAGCAAGTAGTCTGGAACGTACATGAAGCTCTCATTGAAGCTCGAACCGGCCGGGAGAAGTATGTTCCCAAAAGAACGAGTTCAAGCCCGTTGCCATCCCTGACCGCAGGTGCAACTGCAGGTCGTCCAGGCCTTGGCTGCTGACAGCAAATCTGCTCGCTGTTCGCACGGGACAAAAACCGGCCACGAGTATATCTCGGCATTCGACATTCCACTGGTTCATCTCGCAGTCGACGACATGGCCCTGAACAAAACACGGGGCAATGACTGCCAATGTGCAGGACATGAAACGGCACAACCGGCGAATCTTTCAACAACTTCGGCAAATGTTAGTTTAGAGCTGGACAGGACGCAAACTCCAGGGACGGGAGAGATGTGCTGCCGAAACATGTTTACACGAGCCTATATGAGCATGCTGAGGCTGTGTTTCCACTCCCAAGATCTCCCAAGCTGAGCCTGGCCACACGGCTGGACCTGCCGCACGTGGCCGCACGTGTGCCAATGTCAGATGAAACCGCAGTCGGCTCAACAGAGAGAGCTCGCATTCCCGGAAGTCGCATTAAGAACCCATCCCCTCGCTGCAGGGCTTTAAATCGGCTTTGCTCCGTTGGACCTCGCGCAGTGGGCCTTCCACGGAGCGCCTGCGAAAATGAGAATAACTTCATTGGGGAACCGAGATGCGGACGGCACTTATGGCCGTGTGTGCGTGTACCCGTCTGCATGTGTCTGCCTCTCTTGTGGGAGTGTTGGTATGTGGGATTGTGGGTGAGTGGTTAGTTGGTGTGTGTTTCAGACTCAAGAGCACAAAGAAATAAACACAGTTGTGCACACACAGTTCTTTGGTCGGTATACATTCACGTGTATGTACATATGTGTATTCATGCTCATACATACATCTCTTGCTATCAATGCATCTAGCATTCCTATGTAGTTTGCGCACCTAACTACCTACATATTTGTGTGCCTGCGCATGTATCAGTGAGTGCACAACATGAGAACGCGTCAAGAATCATGTATAGTCAGTGCGTTCCCACAGCGTCATGCGAATCCAGCCGACGACTACATGCATGTGCATGCATGCGAAATACATGCAGTGGCATGGACACAACAATGGAGGGATGAACAATTAGGAGACGGGCAGGTTGGCATCCTGCAGTGTTACTTGCAGCGAGGAACACGGCATGCCCTTCAAATCACTCGCGCGAGTGAGAGAAACCGTCATGCATGTCCTACTGTAGCTTTGAATTTTGCAGAACGTCAGGTCACATGATACTTGCAATGCCGTGGTCGCACCCTCCATGGGCCGCTTGCGTCGCCACTTCACGGTGACGATCCCTGCCACTTCGACCAAACTCGCATTGTACTAAAGACACGCTATGCTATAGCTGTCCATAGCAAGCATGCAAAACTGTTTAGCTGAAGCTTACCTGACGACGAGATTCTCGTAGCGATATGCCATGGGCTGGGCGGTGGAGAGAAATGGCAGGAATGCAGTCAGCAGACATTCAGGTTCCTCAGCCTCAAGATCTTAAGAGAATTAGTAGCAGGGAGACCGGCACTGAACTACTCTCAGGCTGCAGCCTCTGGCCGGAATCGCACAAGCCCCACCTCAGCAGTTCTCCGAACTCCAACGGCGATGAGCAACTCAACAAGGATAGTATTATCTGAAATCTCTGAACAGTGAGATCTGCAAAGTGAAATGTTTTGGATAATGGCCCTGAGACCCTAACGCACCCATGGAAGTCCAATTGTCTCCAAGCAGAGTGCATTGTTTAGATGCCTTGGGCAAGTACTAGACTTATAACCCTGATTGCTGGCAACCTCTGGCCTGGGTTGAAATAATTAGTTCTGCGAAGAATCTGTGATTCTCCTGCTGCCGGGATCTGTGAATCCGTTGTGAAGCAAGAGTGAATCCCGAAATCATGACCTTCAGCATCTGTGAAAAATCTGTGAATTCTTGCTTGTTTTGTTGCATCAGAATTTGCGAAAAATCTGTGAATCCCTGGAGGACATTCTTCGTATTTGCGAATCCTTGGACGACACGCGTCGCCCCGCTGCCCCGCTGCCCCGCTGCGCGTCAGGTCCACAGCACAGGTCACAAGTCCACGTAGGCTGCAGCGGCAGACCACGCAGAGCTGTAGACTGTAGCAGCACTGTAGCAGCTAGGTTTAGATAGCAGTGAGCAGCTAGCAGGATCCACAGGCTTCGACTTCCCAGCTCATCGCAGCGAAAGCAGAAGCTGAGCTCGCGGCTCAGACCAAGAGCCGAACATCGCATCCTGTTCGGGCTTCCGTGAGCCTCACGACAGTGTGCGCCCCAAACTCCACAGTGAAGCCCGAAACGATTGACGCGACGACTCACTTGCATGTAACGATGCCATTAGCACCTTTGCCGCAGAACCTGCAAAGACTAGATATGTGCATGTACCGACTTCGCTTAGCATGGATGTGAAGTTCTAGTTGTTTCAGCTCAAAAAAACGCGGCAACAGTCTGAAGCTGTATCCCACAAGAAGTAAAGCGCATTCACAGTCGCAGGGGTCAGCCGTTTCTGTGGCCCCCACACTCTCTTTTGAAGCACGGCTTTGTGTCTTCCTGCAACTGTCATGCGCTGCGACTCAGCAACTCACATTTTCGACGACGTCCTGAACTCCGCTGCAAGGTCGTCCACACTCGTTGTTCGGCTGTGCAAGTGCCCTGAGAGCACTGAAAAGAACAAGACAACACGAGCTAGCGCCACTCCTGGACTAGTCCGCTCTAGGCAGCTGGCCTATGACGAAAGCACAGGCCAGTGCATCCTGCAACCGTTAGCAGGTTGCAGGTTCAAGTTTACAACCAGAGTGGGCGAAAAGCACCAAGTACACGAGTCAGCTGTCCGCCGGCATCGTACCATTTGCCCCACTGAGCGAACCTCAATGGACATGCTCAAGGCTTGTTCGGCTCGCACACTGCTACATCGCCGCACCGCAATCACATCTCCGCAACTCATTCAACTTGGGTCTGGGCTCGCAGTTCTGAGGAACGCAATGATTGCATGTCGGCATGTCTCTGCATTGTTGCCTGAAGTGGGGCCACGGGAACGACCGCCGTTCTGACGAATGTGGAAACAAACATACTTCAAGTGCACTGCATCCAGCACCCCTTCTGGAAGGCTTGCCGCTCCACTTCCGTCCCCGAGCACGATCGGGAGCCCGCCACGAGAAATGCCTTCTCCTGTGGCTAAAGACAAAATGCGGCCTTGACAGCACATGATGCTGAACCCAGCCCCAATTGGAATACTTCGAAAAGGCAGGCGTGACGCACAGTCAATGCATTGTCAGCCTAGGCTGACGGAGCGCAGTGTGACAAAGTGTGACTATGCTGAGCTCAGTCAGGAGACACGGGCAAAGCTGACAACACAGGCTGCAGGTAGCTTTTCTCCGCTATCCAGCACCAGAACCGGCTCGCAAGGCATTTGAGAGCATGTTGGAACGTAACCTGGGTGTCGAATCGTTCATGTCGATCGAGGTACTTGCGCCTTTGGGTTGGATGTCCTGCAGGCGGCGCTGCTGAGAAGCCCCAGGGATGAGTTGACCAGCTCACAATGCCCCAAGCTGGAAAAGCAAAGAGCTACGGAAGCTTTCGGTCTGTCTCTAGGGTCTAAGCCCAAGTGTTTGATTGAGATCTTGCTGCTCGCTGGCTTCATGTCAGCAAGCTCAAAACACGTGCATGGGTTTTCGTTGTTGCTCCCCATCTGGTTAGTCAGTCGATACCCTGGAAACTCACAAACTGCTTAGTGCGCTGCATCACTTCTGAAAGGCAACGGGCACCTGAATCAAAAATCGGTGCCACCAGCCCTTCTCCTCTAATAAACGGGTCGAAACGATGGACTCCTGGGTTTGATTCAGGGTCCCCGGCATCGACTGGATTCAGCCGTCCGTGAGGCAGCAGGTAGCAGGCAAAGGCAACGGCAGCAGCGGTCCAACGGTCCAGAATCAGGAGTCAGTCACAACATGCCTCTGAAGGTTCGTATTGCACCTACATTACTGCGGGGGTGCTGCTCAAAGTGCTCCAAACCTCAACCTCTCCCGTCCTCAAAGAGGTTCCCCATCAGATCATCACTCCGCAGACTTCCACGAACCACTGCTTGAAGAGCGGCCTTCCATGAATCTGACACAGGCTAGGCCCCTGCAGATGCGCATGACGGCACAAACTGGCAAGCCTATGAGCTTCCGTGATGGCAAGGTCCTCGAAAAGCAACGGATCCAACACTTTCTGCTTGGTAGCTTTGTCCTCGGCTCTGGCGGGACACCATCCTTACAGCTGTACTCACCTGTCTAGACGGCTCGTGCAGCGCGACATTGTCTTTGCATGGATTGGAGCTACGACTAGCTTGTGTCAAGCAGAGAGGCACGTAACACAACTGGCTAAGCAGCATGCCAGAATGTGCACCTGCCCCATTAACAATCACATGAATGAGCACGTCCGAGAATCCACAGAAGTGTAGGTCTGTGCGATCTGTGCAACTGTGTCATAGCCTCGGATCTTTGCAGCACGAAAAGATAGGTGGCGCTCACGAAGTAAGCATTTTGGAGGGAGGTCGTTCTTCTAAGAGATTCCTTATATCATGTCGTTCATCTCTTGCAGATGAGAAGCTTTCTTGCACAGTCGGCAAGTAGCACAGCAATTCGCCAGAAGCGTCAATCCACACCTTCCGTCCCAGCACTTCCGTCCCATCACGTCCCATTACGGACTTCTAGTGTCTGGTGATGCTCGTCACTGGAATGCGGATCGTTGGTTCTAGCCCAAGCAAGGTGTCCGATTAATCCAGCGATCCTCCTCGACAGCCCCAAGCCGAAACCTCTGGAGCTTTACCATAAGTAACTTCCAATGCAGCTGCAATCGCCTAAGCCGTGAACATAATCACATAATCAGCTGCAAGCTGCCAGCCAGTCTTCAAACGGCATCTCTCGAAGATCTGAAGGTCGTTCCCACAGGCTCTCCTGTTGCTTTAGACAGAAGCCCAATCTATCGAGCATCCTTTTATCCAACGACCGCATACAGACCTGCACAACTAGCACCGGGAGCGAAACCACAAGGGACCGATTGAAATGGCGGTGCTGGGCTGCCTGGTCCATTGCTTTGATTTAATGTAGTTCGTGCTCCGGTCTGCCCGTTAAGTTAAAGCCCGCTCGAATATCAAGGAAACAAGTCTTGATTACACTGAACGAAAAAACGCATGCTGACAAGATTATCGGTGCAAGCTATTCTGCTGGCAGCTCCACCAAACATACCTCAAGCACCTGTGCTACTAGTACAGCCGTCTTTCATCGTTCCCATATGATATGTGAACACATGGGAGCACGTTCGCGGCTGGCGCTACAGCCCAAACACTGCCAAAAACACATACACACACACACACAAACAAGACGAGGCTCTTTCGGAAGGTCGGTCTGCGAGGCGGGAAGGATGGGCTCGGAGGGCGGCCGAAGAAAGCCTCTACACGCTCTACTTTCGTTCGAAACAGATCCAGCGATGAAGGGTCCACCTGCACCGGCTTCGGCTGGCATCGGAAAAACCTCAGACAGAGATGTGGATGGAAAGTCACCCGACGGCAGCTACTGTATCGAGACGGAAGAGTTGATGGAGCTGTTGATGGTGCCATCGGCTCTGGCGAGCGCAGCCACCAATGCTACTGCAGAATGGGGCAGGTGACTGCTGAACAAATCCGTCGAGTTCTCTTTGCAAATGATGCGCACAAAGTTGTGGCAGCCGCAGCCATCCGAAGCGTCGTAGGTCCCGTGCGACGTCGGCGACGCGTTCATGATCCTGAAACCATCGAAGGAATCCAGCCTGAAGCCTGAGGACGGGCCACAGCAGCCACAGACAGCCCTTCCAGGTCGACACTCGACGAATCACAACTGTCAAGCACACGTGCAACAGGGCAGCAATACAACGCGAGAGAGAGGGAGTATGGCGCAGTACGCGGCCCGTGCCTTTTTGCATACGGCTTTGAGTCATCAATCTAGTCCGTCAGTTTGAAGGTCACTCCACCCGTCTTTGCACGCTTCTTACACGTGCTCTGTCCACAAATTTTGTGGCTCTGTCCGAAATGAACTGTTGGCAAGTATCTCTCTGGCGATCTTGTTGGTAAATAGCCAAGGTACACGGTGTCGGCAATACCCAATTCTTCGAAGACGTGAGCGCCTTGGCAGTTGCAAGAGGACCAGATTGTATAGACAGCTTCTGACTGTCCGCTTGTGTGAAGAATTCGTCGCTCGTGTTTTCACAATGACAAAATATAAGATCATACTAGGGCGGGAAATGGCGGGACATGGTTCATCTCTCCAGGTGACGCGCACCTAGCCCCGTGTGAAACTGTTGTTATCGATGTCTGAGTGGTGTACCTCTTCACGTCCTGAAGGCCTATCTGTGGTTTAAAAGCATCACCGTCAGCCAGTCACATCGGCAACGATGCTGCAAGTGTGGCTCTGCTGCACGAGGCACTCAAGTTTCTTGCCCCGTCGCTGCTTTGGAGCACGGATGCCTAGTCGGAAGCAAACATGTTCACTTCCTGGCTCTTGGCTGCAGTCTGCTCGTATTTTGCTCGTCGTGCATGCTGCTGGATGCTACATGGACACGGTCTATGTTCCATGTTGACGAGAGCTGGGCCCACACTCGACTCGCGATGCCCAACTGCTGATGCGTGCAGACGCGAAACATCTTGCAACCTGCCTCCAACATCTTCAAACCAAGTGCGATCACTACATAGCACCGTCAAGTCTGCAGTACTGTCGTCTCCGAAAGTGCCTGGACAAACTGCGCCATGTCGCCAAAACCTGCCGGTCACTTGAACTCTTCACGGTGTGCGGCATTCCAACTGACAAAAACTTAGAGGCGCTCTGGGCACCCAGCGCTCCATCAGTAGCTTCTCTAGCCCCACACCACGCTCGCCAGGGTCCTCAGATTAGACGGCGATGCAGCTGATTGTCCTGCCTGGCAGTGCATTGCCTTTGGGCCCTAGACGTTGAATGAAATGGAGCCGAAGATGCTACGTCCAGCAGAAAGGCACGAAAGGGCCTGCTCTCTGCACATCATCTACTATCTACTCCACGCAATCTAGAATTGCCAAGACCGGACAAAACTCTCCCAACATCGGTGCACCTGGTTGCCTCAAGCACGCCCATGGAAGTGTCCAATGTCAAACAGCCTGAGCATGCCACCCCGAAACCAGCGTTGTGACATGTGCGGTGGGACACGAAGATTGCTTTTCTTGCGCGGGCCTTCCCGTTTTGGGCACAGACCGTGGTCGATCAAGAATCGCCGGAAGCGCTCGACCTCGATGCGACGCCGAACATGGAGTCTGAAAGATGTCTTGGACAGTCCGACAGATTACGGTACCAGGCTTGTGGGAGGTTAATTTTGCTCTGCTGCGAAATGCTCCTCGTTCTCCTTCGCCCTCAACCCTGAAAGGCGTGCGAGTCGTTCGGACTCTGCCTTGCAGGCAAGAGCGCGCTCGCAGCATCTCACCCAGCCCTTCTAAAACATAGCTTCAACTTGGTCGCCTTCAGTGCCGCCAGCTCGCTGACCTCTCTGACCGTCTGTTTCTGACGGCCCCGACAGCGGCAGGAAGCCACCCAGCCCTGCAGCGTCTCGGAAGGCTCTGATGCTTCGATTGCCGCTGTGGAGCCCAGCCTTGTTGTCGCGCGAGTCGGCCTCATGTTTCACCCTACGGTGAGTCCAATTGTCACCTTTTTGCAGCTGCGAGTTGCGCTGCAGGTCATAGAGTGGATGCTCAGCCGCACACTTCAAGCAACTCCTTGGTGCACACGGAAGCTTCATACTTTTCGTACTGCCTAGCGTCTAGAATACAGCCCTGCTGCATGCAGATCTCTACACAACAAATGTGTGCACGAGAATAGTATATGTATACGATGTATATATACATATACATATGTATATATGCGTGTATGTAAATACATATATATATATATGTGTGTATGGATGGATGGATGGATGGATGGATGGATGGATGGATGGATGGATGGATGCATGGTAGGTAGGTAGGTAGGTAGGTAGGTAGGTAGGTAGGCAGGCAGGCAGGTAGGCAGGCAGGCAGGCAGGCAGGTAGGCAGGTAGGCAGGTAGGCAGGTAGAGAGGTAGGCAGGTAGAGAGGTAGATAGATAGATAGATAGATAGATAGAGAGATAGATAGGCAGATGGGTAGATAGGTAGATATATAGATAATCAGATAGATAAAAAGATAGATGACAAAAAGATAGGTAGATGGATAACGACACGAATAGATAGTTAGACAGGTAGATAGAGGTAGATAGGTAGAGATAGGTAGATAGATGGGTGATAGACAGAAAGAAGATGAGAGAGAGAAATCAACTCCCGGCAAGGAGATGGGCACCCGCGTTGACTCCACCCCGAAGGGTTAAAACACAAACGGGGCATGGGGCTCCGAAAAAGACATCGCCCGTGGCAGGAAGAAAATTAGATAGACTGTACATGCATGAGAAGAGGATGAAACTACCGAACCCCGGTGGCTTCAGCATGCGTGGGCTCCGTCTTTGGACGGTTTGACGAATCGAAGCCTCTCGGGGAACGGCATCCACATGAAAGGTGCAGCGTCGCATTTGCGCATGGATTTGAGCTGATAAGGAGTAGACGCTCCGCCCCCTTCACAGTTGAAAGGCATTGCGGCATGTGGGAAAATATGTATGCAAATTAAATACAAACAATAAATGTAGGGATAGACAGGTACACAGACAGGTTGATCGACAAACAGAGGAACATTGGTAGATAGTGACTGATAGATAAACAGATAGATAGGTAGACAGATAATGAGCGGACGGCTTCTCATTTGGCCGGCAAGACATTGCGCCAAGGAGCCAAAACATAGGCAGACTGGGCGTGCAGATGCCAGAGGAGGCGAGGTGCGCCCGGCAACATGACACCGACACTGAGCAGCTGGCAGCCTGCAGGTGAAAGCAGCTCCATCGTGAGCGGTGTAAATTCCAGAGGCGTCTCAATTTGATAAGTTTTGCTGAGGAAATAAAATGCAGTTGCACCTAGGGTCTCTCATATCAACTGTCTTTATTTACGACTTCAAGGGGCACCAGTCAATCTCCGGTACCTTGGCTGAGCAGATGCAGATCTTCAGCTCGTCTGAAATCCTCCAGCTGGGCTTCCCCACCTGCTCGAGTCTTCACGGAATGCCATCGCAAAGCAAACCATTGAAAGCACCTCCGTGCAGAACAAGCAGATCGACGCACCCGGCGCCACGACGCTGCAGGACCTGCTCAGGAGGAACCAGCTGCCTTACCTCCCGTATTTCCAAGCTCTAGTCATCTCTAGTCGTAGCTGAATTTCACCTCTGAGCATCTCTGAGCCACCATATCTCTTGATAAATTATCTTCCATCCATCTGCAGGTAGGCATGCGAGTATTGCCCTTGCAACTTGGGCCGTGGGCTGAACATGCAGCAAGCCAGCGCTTCACGGAGGGTGGAGCTTTCCACAGCACGCATGAAATCAGAAAATCAACACCGCCATATTTTCATGACTGAAATTCCCCACACTGCCTTGCCTTGGCTGGGCTGGGGTTCAGGGTTCGGAGCATCGCAGGGTCGGTGCGTCAACTCTTGCTCACATCATCCCGTGCGTTTTGCTGTTGCAGCTTGAACACACTGTGCTCTGATAATAATATATCTAAAGCTTTGAAGTTGACAGGTTAAGTTTCTTTGTCTTTCTCACATCAGAGAACACACTAGCAGAAAGGGGAAATCGCAGGATAAGAAGATAACGAAAACCACTGCCCGGAGCGCATCCGGCTGCGTACGCTCATCGTCCCTTTTGGGTTCCCTCCCTCTTCCGCCGCCCTCGCCCCGTATTGCCAGCTACTAGAGTTGCCAGGGAGGCGTCATCCGGAAGCCCAAAACAGTAAGTGCCTTCTCCATGAGAAATTCGGCTGGCCCCATGTGCACCTGTCCGACTCACCCCTTGTGCAAGCATGTGCAAGCAATGCAAGCAGCACCGAAGCCTACGAAGCTGATGTGACCTCCAGATTAGGTGCCCATGCAGCAGCGCAGCGCCGTAGGCCGGCAGCAACGATCGCCGAGTCTTCTAGACCTCGAAGGCTGAGAAGTGGGGCTGGTGCATTGCTTGGTGTCACATCCACATAGTTTTCCAAAATCCGAGTGGCACCAGACAGGGCACCTGACTGCCATAGCCAAGGCCAGCGCATCTTCTCCTCCTTCCAATTTGTGCTTGGAAAGATGTAGCCCGTCAAGATACGGCTTAAGTACAGCGGAATTGAATGAAACTGCACTTCGACGTGCCACCGAGAGTCCGGCCTCGGATATCTAAGGCGAACTGCGGCGACATTGTGAAGCGTGCCAGCTGTGCCTCAGCTTCTCTGATGCACTCAGGCTTTTGGGAGGCCATCGTGCAAACGGGCAGTGAGCGCCAACGCGATGTAAGACCGGGCTTACTTTCGGGGCAGGAAGAACGAGACATGGATATTGCTTTGCTCAACTCTCTCGGCACAGGTCGGTCCCGACCCTGCAACGAGGGTAGCTCTCCATGGAGACAAACAGCGAGCAGCGACGAATTTGCATTGTTGACAACATAGGTCACCATAGATCACTTAGACAAGAGCACAGACGGATAGACAAACAAAGTGATTAACCGATATTAACCGGCCTTAAGTTGACTCCCGAGGCTTGCGACCAACATGCCCCGCGACCCGCAGCTAGCTTCGATGGAGCACCAGCTCCCGCTTCAGCACCACGCAGCAGGCCGGCCTGTGACCCCGTGTTTTGGAATATCTGGATATGTCGCGTGCGGCGGCAGCTGTGGACCGGGCCAGCCGCTGCAACTGCTCCGAGACCTCCAGCTGAGGCGTCGCGGGCAGGCCAGAGCTCTCCTCCTGTTCTGTGGACGACGGTTCTTCTTCGACGAAACCACGAAGACCACACAAGGCCTGCATCCGAACGCCTTGGCATGTTGCGGCGCATCGTCGCACTGCAGAGGCAAACGGCTCCGGGAGGTCCTGCCCAACCCAGACAGCGTTTTCGCCGACAGGGCTGCACTCTGCAGGCTGTTCTCTCAATCAATTAGGGCCTCCGCAAGCCGGTCCCAAAGCCGCGCTGCGAGGCTTGCATCCGACCTGCGAGTGCCGCTGCGCTGTCCATCGCGCTCTGGCTTTGGCCCACTTTGGGCCTCTCTGCCGTCGCGAGCAGGACCGACCAGGTTGTCATGTCCGTCCTCTGACAGCAAAGTCGACCTTGGATCCCGTATGATCCCGTGGTCGTCCGCTTACAGACGTAGAAAAGGATGGTTGAGGCCGTGACAAGCATCCGTCACTCTTCCAGCTTTGCAGAAGAGGCGAACTGCCACCACCAGCTCCTGCGACCCCCGAGGCCAGCACCGGCTGTGGAGAAACCTTCGAACACAAACTACCTGCCCAGGCTGCAACGTTTTCGACGACAGCTCAGACAGCCCACCTGGACATCAGACAGCAGATGCAGAAAGCAGGAATGCTGTCAAGGGCCAGCGAGGCTGCTGCAAGTGATCGAAGGCTTGTGACAAACTGGACAAGCCATGGCACTTTCCAGGACTGACGTCAATTCTTCCTGCATGCTAAATCACGGTGTGGCATAAAGATCTAGCAAGACCGTCACTTGCATGCACGGCTGGTCCAGCACATGGGCTGCTTCCTTACTACACGTCCTGGTGCTCGAAGGTTACAGAAGCTACATCCGATTCCTTGCAATGCGCCATGTCAAGAGTGCCTCAGGGGACTTGCCACGACGACGCGGGAGTACTTTCCACGACATGCAACTCAAGAAGCACCGACATCGCCTCGATGGTCGCATAGCACAACAAACGCCGATAGCAGATTGATCAGGGAGCGGGTGTCTAACTCTGAGATCCTCCAAGAACAAACAGCTCTGGTTTGTGGAAATGACCATGTGCGTGGTCAACCATCCCAGCAGCCACCTGTGCGACGCGACTTGGGCCATGTCCTCAGCCATCACACCTAGAGTTCAGTACTGCAATGCCGTTGAATGCCATCTGCACGAGATGAGGCATGTGAAATGGGAACGCGGGGCATATGTGGTAGAGCCCACACTGAAAGAACATTACTTGCTCTGCAGACAGAGACGCACCGATGAGCTCCTCATCCTCCCAGCCGATTTTCGCAAATCCCCAGCAGACCGCACCTGTCATCCAAAAAGTCAGCCACGTCAGTACACAACTGCCAAGTTCGACTCGCAATGCAGATTCCTTCCAGAGTGTTGACAATAGCATGCGCATGGCACACAGCTCGTCCGGTCGATAGCGCCACAACCTCCCACCCTTGCACTCCTCGGGTTGGACTTGACAAGCGGACAGTGTACGCTGGGATCCCATGTAACCTTCTCTGCGAGCCAATGCTGTCCAAGCGCACGAGCCACAGCTTGCCAAGCCGATGCGTCAGCGATGTCCAGCGTAGCATACGCCCATGCGAAGTTTGCCACATACTGGGCCTCCACGACATCTGAGTCCACTGACCCACTGCCCAAACCCTCTGAAAAAGCAATTTATGTCACCTGCCTCAAAAACGCTCGCGTGCTGCACTATGAAATCCTTGCATGAGCGTGCTGAAATGCAGATCTTGCAGGCTTTGCTTCCCTCTCGAGTGGAGTTTGTGGGCCGGTAAACTGTGCCTTCCGTTAAGTCGAGCGACGGAGAGCTCTGAAAACAAGGGCTCGTGGGCCACTTGTGCCACTGCAAAAGCCCATGCCATCTGGGCGGCCTCTGTGCTGGCTCGCGAGATTTCGGTGCGTCCCATGTCTGACTATCATCCATGTCTCCTTGATCCATGATCGTACCTATGATTACCTTCGTAATTAATGAGCACTGTTGTCAAGCCTGCTCGGAACTCGAGACTGAGCTTAAGGCTCGAAATCCTGGTTCATCTTTCTTCTGGCTACTGTCTGTTGAAAAAACTGTTTTGGGTAGTGTCTTCTTGACACCAGCAGTCCAGCGAGCAAAGGGCCATCTGAGCCCGGCCAGTCTTCTGTCCCCTGGTTCCAGCTCTTGAAGGTGTTGTTTCGCAGCTTCTGCTGGCCGATCTGCTGCTGCAGTCTTCGCATCTCCCTTGCAGATTTGCAGGCGGCCGTTTTCGTTGCTATCCTGCTTGAAACGAAACCTTACCTTGGCTCGCGGCTATGACACAAGCGGAAAAGCTATGGCAGGCTGCTGAGGTGATCTCGAATGCTACTGCCACTTGAGCTACTTCGAACCGACACTGCACTGAGACGTGGACCATCTCAGCTGAGTAGCGCTTCACAAAGCCACAGGAAACCTCGTCAGCGCGGATAAGATGAATGATGCTTGCAAAACTGCATCGGTGGAAACATGAACAATCCCACTTTCGACACATGGCACGCTGCAGCAAGCAAGCCATCTGCAAAATGTGGCTTCTATTCCGACTCGAGGGCGCTGCTCTCATCAAAGTCGTCGGGCGTGCTTTCTGAACCGGGCTACTGTATATAGCGACGGAATGACAGTCAGAAGGTCATGCTGATGGCAATTCTCAGCCTGCGTTCTGTCGGAAAGGCTTCTCCTGTAAGGCGGCGACAGTGATGCACGCTGGACGAAGGTCCACGAAGGAGCAATACGATGAACTGCGAATATGGAGGAGCTCATCAGCCACGGTCACTGCTGCAACATGGCTTGCTGCTGTGGCACACTCGGGTCAGCTCTACACAGTGGCGGCCCAAAGCCTCAGAAATATGTATCGAGTCCGGGTCCAGGAAGTGACCCTCAAAATGGGGGAAGGTGTACCACTTGAACCTTTTGCCCTGGCCGATGGAGTCGATAGTAGCAAAAGTGCCATGTAGAGTTCCAAGCTTGTTCCGACAGAGGCGAATATCTGATGCCCAGAGATCGGTAGTGCCGTGAGTCTTACCTACCGATCCCTCAAATGTGATGACACCGGATGACACTGTCCTGCGATGAGTTGGGACGAGCTGCAGCTGCGAGCGTGTCATGTTCCAGTCCCCGTCCAGGCTCGTGTGCCGAATCGCATACATAACTACGATGCAGTTGTCATCCACTGAGACCTGCTTGGCAAATATCTCAAAAGGTGGAATCTCGCTGCCAAGGCGGTATAGCTCCGCAGATATAACCTGAGACCACTGTGGCTTCTGCCGACTCGTCGCTCCACTTTGGCGCTTGAAGTCAGCTGCAGAGACCCGCCAGTGCATCGTGGGGGGAACAAGGAACGGCATGACGCTCTGCGCCAGAACACTGGACGGCAGCACGCAGTCTGAGCACCTCTTCCCCATGTCTGCAGCAAGCCAGACAAGCTGCTGCAGTTCAGGCCACCAACAATCGCGCTGCGGCCGGAATTCCACAGAGAGGAATTCAGCCATGGATCTCGGCTCCAGTAGAAACCTTCAAAGCTTTAACATGTGCAGGCCTCTGTCTGTCGTGCTCGGTGTTTGTTCTGAAAGCTGCGTCAGAGCGAGAAAGAGAACTCGCCCAACGTTGAGTGAGAGTACGAGCAACAGTGAGGGTGAGACTAAGAGTGAGTGCTGCGCGCGTGTGTGTGTGTGTGTGTGTGTGTGTGCGTGCGTGTGTGCGTGCGTGCGCGCGTGCGTGTGTGTTTGTTTGTTTGTTTGATTGCTTGTTTGTTTTTTGTTTGTGTTTCGACAGGCGTTGTTGCCTTACGTTGCGCATTTGCAACCGACTGTCTGTGACGACCGTCCCTCCTGTGGCAAGGACGGCGAGCCTGCTAAATCTGTGCATCTGGGAAATTCCACAACGCACTCGTCTGGAGCATTCGAGCATTCTTGGGCTGGAGCAGTGTGATTGGCAAGCTTGTCAAAAAGCTCCTGGGCTCAAGAACAGGACTGGGTCTGAGTAAAATAATGCTCCCTCGGTCATTGATCTTGGCCGAGCTTCAAAATCCACAGCATCGGCACGAGCCATGGCCTTCACTACAGCAACACATTGGAGAAACGAAGAAACTGACCATCTGATTTTCCGTGCCAGGGCACCCAGCAGAGGCTGGTGACATCAAAGTCCGCAAAGTCGGGGACTTGGGACAGACTTCGCCTGGACCAGATGCACAACCTTTTGTTACAAAACCGCAGTGAAAAAAGCAGCTGGTCGCCTTTGGATTGCCTCGAAGAGCTCTGGGTTCTCTATGCCAAGGCGAGCCTCGAAAGCAGGAACCGCCGTTGCGATCATGGTGCCCGTTTGAGGTTGTTGGCAGTGGTAGAGCTGCCCTTGGCATTGAGATGACGTGACGACAACTATGACAAGGATGATGATGACGCGGCTGCTGCTGTGGTAGGATAAAGAATGATGACGGCGGGGACATGATGGCGAGAAGGCTGCCCACCGCTCGGGCAAGTGCTACCGTAGGTCTCTTCAACAGCAACAGTTGTGCCTTATCATTGCTCTTGCTGGGAATCCACTCTGGAAATGTCGAAGTGTCGACATTGACTCGTTTTCATTTGTAGCTCTTGCAGGATGAGCACGGAGGACGTTGTGCAGATTTCTACTGAGCAAATACGAACACTGCTCTTAATGTGCTTATTCTTGCAGCTGTGTGCCTATATCGACTGCGCCTATTCTCGTGAAGACTGTATAGTATTCTGAACCCGGCAGCGGTACTCTGAACCCGGAAAGGAAGCAGAATTGCAAACCTCAGAGGGAGCTAGGAGCAACAAACATCAGAATCAAATGACTGAGGAGTGGCAACCTTGAACAACCCTCAACCCGAAAAGAAATGTCCCGCAGTCCCAAGGGTCGGAAGCAAAACCCTAGATGACGGATACGCATACAGATCAAACAAATAAGCACGGAGGCAATGGAAAGAAAAAATTCCTGTCATGATGCAGGATACAAGCACATATTCTGATGTGGATATCTGGCTCCACTTGACGAAATTTCGGGTGATCCTGCGGACTGGCTAAAACTCAGAATTGGGGTCGGGTTTCTTGAGACGTGTATTTCCCTGAGTCTGCCCTGCCATCATCTCCTAAAGCCCACTCTTTGCCGTGTTAAAGCTAGTCAAGCAACAAAGACCAAGGCAACATTGGCCAGGCACTGGGGAGTCAACTCCTGAGTTCAGGTCGGAACATGCGGGTCTGCCTGCAGCACCGGCTACGCTCCTGCATCAAGCGCAGCGCCGTGCTTGAAATCTCGGCGCACATCGCAGGGCTTCCACGCTCGGCCATGCCGAACGCCCACGCGATCCTGAACATGTGTTGGCACGAGGCGCGCTGGCAGCAGGTACATGAAACACAATGCGCCCGCCATGCATCAGAACCGAACGGGAGCTTGAACTTGGGGGTAGAAGCGCAACTGCAACCTCGACCGTCTCTGATGCATGACAGGGCACATTGAAAGGTCGACATGGCGAGCCTCTTGCACCTCGGGTCACTGTCACACAGCCATGTTCTCTGTAAGCCTACACCCGTGCTCCACGATCACACTTTGAGCACGGCCTTGCGCTGCACCACTGTCTCCATAGCAGTCCAGAAGTCCGGAACCTGCTGCACCATCTCCAGCTTCGTAAATCCCCAGCCTGCCACGGCTCCGGCTCTCCCCTGCAGCTCCGCGCTTTCGATTTCCGTTGGGTGGAAGGAGCGAGATTCGCTCTGTGTCTCTGTCTCTGTCTCGCTCTCTCTGACTCTCTCTTTCTCTCCGGAACGAGCGGACGCCCGAACCCTTGCGACCGAGCGCGCACCTGCAGGGTTTTGAACTTCCAGGGCGGGGCTTCGCCCCCCAGTGGCTCGGCTTTACATAGATGATCATAGATGTGCCGAGGCATGAAAACAAGAAGGCCATCATGTGATCCTCCGGGGGCGCTCAAAACAAGAAAACGAGCAGCATTCAACCCTCCCCCCCATGCCGGCCTTCTTCTGGGAACAAGAAGAAAAACGTGCGTCCCCTCACTGTTGCGGGCTTATCATCCGTTCTACATGTTCTGAATGGCTCGAATTAGAACTTCTTGTCCCCCGAATTCCCTTTGGCTACTCTGTCAAAGGTGTTGAAAAGAAACAAGGATTGGGGGCCGATATGGGCCCTGTCTAGCAGTGGGCTTACCTGAGAAGAGTCGAGGATGAATCCTGACCAGCTTAAACTTAGCAGCTGAGTTCATAAGCACAAAAAAAGTGTACACTTTCATTTCTTTAAGGGATCATATGCTCCTAAAAAGTTTAAAGTGTACTCATTCAGCTACTTAGTAAAGAGTTCACACCTGGGAGTCAAAGTTACGAAAGGAGTGAAGAATAACATGCAACATGCAGTGCGAGCGAAAAGCTTGAGGCATGCCAGTAGGACCCACAAAAACAGAACCAACTCCCACGTCCGAACCAAAACCCCCAACTAAAGCTAGAACCTTCCCCCGCACGAGAAAAGTTTTCACGGGCCGGCTCACTAGCTCTCACTCAGCTTCACTGTTCCCCGATCTCGTTGCATAGGTTCCTTCTTTGGGTTGGTTCGCCTTTGTCTCACGCCGTGTCCGGAGAGGTCTGTGATCCCCCGGCCTTGGCGCTGGCTCCTCCCCTTGCTTTCGAGGTCGCGCTTTGTGGCGTTTTGGTTGGCACTCTGCCAGCCTTCTCCGGCTGTCTTTCCCCACATCTCGTCGGTCTGGCCGTCCTTGTCGAATTTGTCCCCTCCTGTTCTTTCTCCTTTGCCAGAACTTCGCGGTGCACAGTCTAAGCTTGTTTAAGGCCGTCCTGGATTTTGTGGGGGAGCCTCCCCACATGTATGCGCAGCTCTTCCTCCGCCTTTGGGGATGAAACGACCCACTATACTCACAAGCTTGTCTGCATTGCGTCCCTCCTCCGCGCACGCTCGGCGACGTTGCAGGTACCGTTGGTAGTCCCTCTCGTCTGTGGCTTCCAAGGCTCTCCCCGTGTTGGCATCCTTGAGGAATCCCCTCCGGTCCGGCACCACGCGCCGGTTGATCCCCTCCCTGCGTTTTCGTGGTTCAGGGGTCTGGTTGACTTCCCCCATCCCTTACCATGGCGCGCTGCCTCCGGCTAGTGCTGCCTCTGGGTTGTCATTCCCCCACATGGTGCTGGTGCTGCCGCGGAAGTGACTGCCCCCGCGGCAAGCATCGTCTTGTTACATATGCCACCAGTGTGGCCCTTGTGCCAAAGGGGTCTTCGAAAGCGTCTTGCTCCTCTCCAGCCACGGGTCTGCAACCTTCTGGGGTCCAGGTTGTCTTCCGTGTCTTCCGCCCGCTTCTGCCGGTCATCGGTGAGGTCGTGGCGAGAGTTCCGCCGAGGAGAAGTTGTATGCGCTCTCCCCCTACTGACGGGCCACCCCCCGAAGGAGGGCCGTGGTGAGAAAAGCAGCCGCACGGACAACACTCAAGCACCCCTGGAAAAGTTGCGAAGGCTCCCCCGGAGCGGACTCTGTCTTTGCTTTGCTTCGCTTTGGGTTGGCGGACTCTGTCTTTGCTTTGCTTCGCTTGGGGTTAAAGTCAGGGGCAAAACCCCCAACTCGCGCCGAAGTGCATCCCCTTCCATCATGTTAACTGAAAGGGCAGCTGTACTGCAGACTGTCTGGCCAGCCGAAGTAAGATGGCCTTTGTGCCCCCGTGGAGGCAGGCTGCTGCAACAGAGGCATCCGACTGTGTCCCCAACAAAGTAAACGACGTCGTCAAGTGCAACACTAAAGCAACTTTCCGGGTGCTCCTTCTGCTGTGTACCCCCCTGTCCTGCCTTAGCCCCGCCTGCATCCCAAACGGAAGCCTGATCCCATCAGTCACCTGCGACCTTCCATTTAACGCTGAAGCCTCTCTAGTGCCAGGTGCCCTCGTCTCAACATGAAAACACTGCAAGTCCTACATCCAACAACCCAAAACACCCGTTTCGGGAGTCCCCCTCGGCTAGTCTTCATCACACGCCTCATGGAGACGGCGGCGACGATGGCTGGTTCTGCTCACTTCGCTCAGTTCGTCTGGTTCCCGAGTTTGGTGTAGTGCTGGCTGTGGGTGCCACGGCTTCGTCTCTGCTTCGTTGTCTCCACTCTGTCTCTTTCTTTCCAAAGGCCACTCTGTCGTCTCTCTCTCTCTCTCTCGCCTGGGCATGGGAACGGGTCAACGTCCCCGGGCTGAGTAGCCCACCCAATGTGGGCTAAAGCCCAAAAGGTGACCAAATATTCGTTTCTCACTCCGTGTCGTCTCTCTCTCTCTCTCTCGCTCGCGCAGAGAGCGTCGTTCTTCTTCAGACACCACCCTTTCTTTTGGCAAGCGGCAAATCTTGGCGACGTCCGTGGGACCGAAGTGTGCTGCCTGACGACCGAATGCAGGGCAGGAAACTCCAGCCCCGATTTGCCGACAGAGTCGTTGCACATACGCTCTGAAACCTTCTTCGTCGACTCCGATGCAAGGTCCAGCAGAAACGCCTCCTGAAGACACATGCCAGGGCCACAGCAACCGACAGACGGCCTCTCGAGCCTCCCTCCATGCCAGTTTGGCACTTGCGTATGCCACCATGGACAGGCCCCGCGGTTCCTCGGGAACGGCATGGATGGCTGAGGGATTCGGGATGCTGAGGGCGGAAGTCTCAGAACATGTTCAGAGCGTTGTGGTGCGACCCGTCTGCCTCGCTTGGCCTTGCTGCTAAGCATCCAAACGCGCAATCGCCTGTGCAAAGTGGAGAGAGTTCGGAGGTTTAGCAGTTTAGTTAGGATGTGCACAGTACACAGAGTTCTTGCCCTTGCTACGGGCTGGAGCCCAAAGCGACCTGATGGAGCTTCTCCTGCAAAGCCTTCCAAGTTGGCCCGGATGGCAACCTTCGCAGACTTATGGTAACTTGTTGACTGGAAATGCCGATAGAAATCCGAACGACAAACAGAAAAGCATGCATCTACACAACGAACATCCGCAAGCTGTGGCCTCTCACCCACCAATTTTGCTCCAGTGCAGAATGCGATGACGAGGCTGCCTTCGTCGAAGCGCGCCAGGCACTCCTCAGCAGGCCAAGGTAAGACAAGAAAAGGATACTGTTGTTGATTGGTTTTTGCTATTTTTTGCTAGAATCCGCAACATGACTGCAACAAATGCGTCCTGCACGATGTCCAACAGCTCCGAGAAGGAGCTGGCAGCTCTAATCCTCTTCGGACGGCATGTGACAGGAAGCGAATCTGTGCATATCATGTGACAATTGGATGATTGCATGGTCCGCGCAAATCGTCGATACTCAGGATTGCCCATCAGTCGTCGCTTGCATGGCGCCGACTTTCAAGTCGCGGTTCTCGCGCTTAGGATACTGGATTAGTTTGCACATGCTTCCTGCGTCATGGGTGGTTCGCGAATCTTCAGCAAACCTTGAGACCTTCACCCTGAACTCCACGTGTGATGCCACAGACCGTAGGGACAGGAGCCGGAAGTTTCCAAAACCCGGTGCCTGGCGTCTGCAGCCTTGACAACATCACTTCGGCCGCCCACCGAGGCAAAGATCGGTGGTAGGGAGCTGCGCGTCCTGGGGAAAAGGCCTGAGGAGTGCACTGAGTTCCCGCTCTGACACAAGCGACCTCGGCTCACACCGCATGCAGTTGCAGTTGCAGGCAGGAGGCTCCCGTAGAAGCTGCTCGCAGAGGTGCTGACACCAGGGCCTCTACGGGCGGTGAAGCTGCCATTGAGGAACGCTGGGTTCTCGTCAACAAATGTAAGACGAGTGTTTGGAACTTTTGACATTTCAACAAATTCGATATTGAAGAATTGCTTTGGAAGCATGGTCTTGCAGCCAGCGCGAGCTTGCGCTTCTGCCAAAATAATCATCTTCGGGGAACTTCATTCGATTCAATGTGCATGGAAGCTCGTAGTTCCTTCAAAGAAGGCCCGGCAAAGGGTAGGGTGCCTTTGCCCGAAGTGGTTGAATTCCAAACCCAAAAGAGGCACACCAGCCCACGCTGTCGCTTTCCCTACTCGACATGGGTCTGATCAACGCACGCAACATCTCAGCCTGTTGTGCCGCCGTCGTGGTGGGCGTGCATGATGCATAGTGGTGCATTGCTGCATCGCACGACCTTGCTTTAGACGCTGTATTCTAGGCCTTCGGTATCACCCATGAATACAGGATATGAGAGGCATGTAGCTTTGTGATGTCATTGCGAACCTGTGAAATAGAGAGCACGGGTTGCGAAGTAGCATCGATTGATTTGCTGCTTGAGCCCGAGTTGTGCTGCGCTTACCGCCCGGCCGTAGACTTCACGGTGTCACGAAGGCCTCAACTGATGCCATCACTTGCTCCACTCACCCCGCCACCAGTTTGACCTGGACCCGGAACGCCCAAGTCCTCAGTCGCTGAGGTCGAGGAGGTGTAGCCGTCCTGTATGGGGACGGGGCCACCACTCACCCTCTCACAGCACAGTGTGACGACGCGGAACAACCAAAGCAGCACATGCATGACCGATGCTCCAGCCAATTTGGCGAAACAGTGTCCCCGCAACCATCCGAAATGCCCAAGTCCTCAGACGGCGAGACGCCATATCTGTCCTGCATGGCGCTTTGCAGCCGCAGCTCGCCCAACCCAAGACACTGCGGCCTAGCTGATGTCTTCACTGCAGTACGCACGTGAACCATAGAAGGACTCAGAACATCCTAGACCCGAAATGCGCCAAGTGTCATGTGGTGATTGCAAGCCGAGGAAACAGCGTGGCACCCCGCAACAACCCGAAATGCCCAAGTCCTCAGAAGACGGGACACCATATCTGTCCTGCATGGTGCGCTGCAGCCACAGCTCGCAACACCAAGACACAGCGAAAAACTGCTGCTAGGCCAAACCGACCGTTTCACCGCCCTGTGCACGTGACGCAACTCTTGCAGTCTTGTAGCTTCTGGTGTGCCTGTAGAAGGATCCAGAACATCCTAGACCCGAAATCCTCGAAGTGCCATGTGGTGCTGTGCTATGTCTATCCTGGCTACACAACTGCTCAGGCCCTGCATCGGTGAAACAGTGCCGGTTGGCACCCCCCATAACAACACGAAGTGTCCAGTCCTCAGACGACGGAGCGCCATATCTGTCCTGCATGGTGCTTTGCAGCCGCTGCCTAACACTGACGCCTATATCTGACCTCTTCACCGCAGCATGCGCGTAACCCAACTCCAGTTGCTCATGGCATGTCCCACTAGACGAAAGCCAGCATCCTAGAAGCGAAATATTCGTAGTGCCGGGCCGTGCGATGCCACGTTTATCCTGTAATATCCTGTGTACCCATCCTACAAGCTGGAGAAACCGTGTGGCACACCGCAACAACCTGAAATGCCCAAGTCCTCAGAAGACGGGACGCCATACCTGTCCTGCATGGTGCGCTGCAGCCACAGCTCGCAACACCACGACACAGCGAAAAACTGCTGCTGATCGTTACACCGCTATGTGCACATGACGCAACTCTTGCAGTCTTGTAGCTTATGGTGTGCCTGTAGAAGGATCCAGAACATCCTAGACCCGAAATGCTCGAAGTGCCATGTGGTGCAGTGCTATGTCTATCCTGGCTACACAACTGCTCAGGCCCTGCATCGGTGAAACAGTGCCGGCTGGCACCCCGTAACAACACGATTTGTCCAGTCCTCAGACGACGGAGCGCCATATCTGTCCTGCATGGTGCTTTGCAGCCGCTGCCTAACACTGACGCCTATATCTGACCTCTTCACCGCAGCATGCGCGTAACCCAACTCCAGTTGTTCATGGCATGTCCCACTAGACGAAAGCCAGCATCCTAGAAGCGACATATTCGTAGTGCCAGGCCGTGCGATGCCACGTTTATCCTGTGATATCCTGTGTATACCCATCCTACAAGCTGGAGAAACCGTGTGGCATACCGCAACAACCTGAAATGCCCAAGTCCTCAGAAGACGGGACGCCATATCTGTCCTGCATGGTGCGCTGCAGCCACAGCTCGCAACACCACGACACAGCGAAAAACTGCTGCTGATCGTTACACCGCTATGTGCACATGACGCAACTCTTGCAGTCTTGTAGCTTATGGTGTGCCTGTAGAAGGATCCAGAACATCCTAGACCCGAAATGCTCGAAGTGCCATGTGGTGCAGTGCTATGTCTATCCTGGCTACACAACTGCTCAGGCCCTGCATCGGTGAAACAGTGCCGGCTGGCACCCTGTAACAACACGATTTGTCCAGTCCTCAGACGACGGAGCGCCATATCTGTCCTGCATGGTGCTTTGCAGCCGCTGCCTAACACTGACGCCTATATCTGACCTCTTCACCGCAGCATGCACGTAACCCAACTCCAGTTGCTCATGGCATGTCTCACTAGACGAAAGCCAGCATCCTAGAAGCGGCAAATTCGTAGTGCCGGGCCGTGCGATGCCACGTTTATCCTGTTATATCCTGTGTACCCATCCTACAAGCTGGAGAAACCGTGTGGCATACCGCAATGCGACGAGACACCATATCCGTCCTGCATGGTGCTCTCTATGCAGTCATGGCTGAATTCAATTCGTGACATGGCGAGACATCCATCGAACAACCGCTGCTGAAATCTCTTATCGACAAGCCAGCCTGCAATGTCCAAAGCCTCAGGTGGTCCCGTACCATACTGCACGTGCGCTCCGAACTTGCAAAACAGCGTGGCGCCCCGGAACAACCCCAAACGCCCGAGTCCTCAGACGACGATGGGGCATATCTGTCCTGCAGTCATATCCCTCGCCCTTCAGAGCATGTTGCTGGTGCTGAAGATGATGGCTATACTGGTGACAATCGCCGAGAAACTCGAAGACGAACTATAGTAGAGGCATGAGAGACGTGCTTCGGCTTATGCTACACGACACTCGCTTCAGGGGCTTGACTGTCACCACAGACCCCAGTGGTGTAGGCTTGAGTTTGCCGCACTCTCTTCGGCTGATCCTGCACTCCGTTCTATCACCACCATCATCAGCAGCACCCTCGGTCACGACAGATGCATGGCCAAGCATAGCACATTCAGCACCACATGCTTGACACCACTCCAGATGCCAAGTCCATGAATCAAGAATAAACTTGAAACCCTGCGTCTGTCCGACTGAACGAGCGGCTGCTTCTAGCTTCGTCGTCTCCACACACACCAGACATGGACATATCTGGGAGATTCAGGGCAAAAGGAGAAGCGGTATGTAATATGTAGCAAGTTTAGCGTTGAGGAGTACACCGTGAACTCTGAGCTGTTTGCTGCACCGGGTTCAATCCCACTCCCGCTGCAATATGTCCTGAGGCGGCGATGGGGCATATCCGTCCTCAAAAAGGACGCCGCGTTCTGTAGAGGTCAAGTATTGGCTCAGTTTGCTGGAGGAACGTATGCGAACCCGAGACCTGGAAGCCGTGATGACCGTAGCCATAGCGACCGGCCTGAGCACAAGAGCGCGAGCACATCAGACACTCCCAAAGCCAAATTAGCAAACAAGCAAGGGATCTTGCCTAAATGGAAAAATTCACAGAAGCCCAGCATGCTCCGGACCTAGACCTGCGAAAACCTGATGCTCAAGCCTTGCATTGCAATACGACTCCGGGCAGATCGGATCAGCAGTCCCCGCGAGCACCGAAAACGGTCCGGCATTGATGCAAGATACTTGTTGGCCGTGTTTCTGGTGGCCTGCCTGTGGCATGGACCGTTTCACGGCTGCCATGACTGGATTGTTGTCCAGCTGAAGCAGCTGAGGTTTGTCCGACAAGAGCGGCTGGCCCAGCCCGGCCCTCGTGCACACTTGTTCCGAGTCTTTCGTTCGAGCCATGAGCTAGACCGAAGAAATGAAAACGAACGCTGCTGTCGTCTTTCGTCATCCACACACGAGATTACGTGACAACAGTACCACTCGAAACCGCCCTGTTGGCCTGGTGGCTTGAATCTGCGTCTTTGTCGGGATAGTAGCCAGCATCCTCTCAATCTCAAGAGATGTGGGAAGTTCTCTAAATTAGGGTCCCTGTTTAGGCCCACAATAAAGTACGGCACCCTTATGAAAAGGACCCTAAAAGGGACCCTAAATTTAGAGAACTAGCCATGTTGGACAAGAGCCACAGTGCCACAAAAGCCAGACAGGTCCTGAGCGCTGCAGACGAGCGCTATGGCAAGCAACGGCAGCCACATGGTATGATTCAGGTCTACTTTGCGGCCTGAATCAGGATGCTGGAAAAACACACAGGAACAAACACACACACACACATATATATATATATATATATAACACTTAGTTTGGTGTGCAGCTTGAGATAGCCCCTCGTCCGATCCCAAAGTGTCACTGGAGAACGAAGCGTAAGCCAATGTCTTGCAAGTCTTTCGCCAAGCAAGTCTAAGGCCCTGTTGGAGCTAGCACGGCTGAACGAAATTATCAGACAAAAAGATAACGAACTGTGGTGTGAGGTACATGTCCGAGCCAAGCACAGCAAAGATGGGGTTTGAGCAACCAGCACTCAGCAAGGAATCGAACACAGAGGCCGCCATGCCAAGCTGAGCAATTCCCTTCGAGCATCTTTCTCTGCAAAACATCTGTCGGATCGAGGCGCCGGCTCTTGATGATCAAAATAAACAGGAGGTGACAAACTTCACGCCGCCTTCCAGAGTGTAGGTATTGCTGGATTGGAACCAAACCATCAAGAACCTCTATCTGGTGCCCTTCTGGGCAGAGTCTGACATGCTCTTCGTGCACGTGGACTCCAAAGCAATCGCGCGAGAGTCGCGAAAGCAAGTCGCTGGTCGCGCGACAGCCAAAAGAGTGCCGAATGGCACCCGATGGGCAGCATCCAGGGGGCTGAGATGTGAGCAAGCACGCGAGTGCAATCTGCTAGCGATGTCATCTGCAACGGACATCTCACAAGGACACCCAGACGTCAAGGCATGCATTCGAAGCCCTCACGCCATCAATCTGCGGCTTGATGTAGAATCTCGGAGAGATCTACAGCTTGAATCGCATGCGATGCACTGAGTCAGTGGGTACATTTAATGAAAGGCGCGCTTTGCACGCCCTGACAGCTGATGACAGGCTCTCCAAGAGGATCACCATCAGGGAATTAAGCGAGAGTGAAGGTCACTTGCTCTTCTTGCCTTGGGCCTTGGTGTCGCTGGGCTTGGCTGAAAAAAGCATGTCTGCCTTGCAACTTAAGACTTGCATTTCCGGCAGCTGCTGAAACTTACGGCACAAGCGGTGATGCAGGCTGGCAAGGACCTGGCAGAGTGGGTGAAGTGCACCTGCAAGGGCAAGCAATTTCTTTCCTCAGATTCTCAACGAATGAACGAAAGCAGAGAACGTATAAGAGCGAGCAATGCGTTCCTAGAGGACGGTGCTTGCATGCGAACGCTTCAACCAGGTGAAAGACTTGAGTCATGCTGAGTTGCTCAAAGGCATCCCCAAACACACAAGAATCTGGATATTATTGTCGGTCTGCATACAACTACAGTTTATATACTATTTACAGAGCCGGAGCTGGGCCCCCCTCCGGTACCAACAGTACCGCATGCACACCACAGCTGGCACATGAGCAAATATTCAAAGGTTCTGTGGTGATGTGTAGATCCATCATGATCCATCCACGTTGGAGCAAGGCAGAGCACTTGCCGGCCTGATGTACGACAACTGCAGTCAGCACCACGAACAGGAGAGTACCTCGAGACACATGCAAGCACATACCTTGAAACTTCGGAACATACCCAGAATTACAGCCTTACTACACAGCATGCGCTGAGGCTTATGCTGACCTGCTGATGCTTGTTAGGCTACAGTCCTGGTTTCAGCAGTCACAAGCGAGCACCGAGGCCAACCCCAGCGAGAAGACGATATCGTCCGGACAAAACCTCGGAAGCTCAAAGCCCAAAGCATGTCGCCGTGCTGAAGGCCGAGGATCCGGCACAAAAACAGAGGAAGCAAGCAGTGCTCAGCAGCCACCACGCAATCGCACCTTGGATCGTTAGGGGGAACCTGTCAGATACTCGGACCTAGAACCCAGGTATACCCTTGTAATCCCTTCTACCAGTGCATATACTTCCTTTGCAATAGCACGTCCAGTATGGGTGTCCCTTTTTTTCTGACCACGGCCCATCCTGTCCTGTTGCATCCTCGCGGGTTTGCCCAGAAACCTTCGGACTCCCTCGAGAGACAGTTTTCTCCTCCGTCGGAGTATTGCAGTCCGGCTGTGACCACAGATCGGAAGAGCTTGCTCAGCGCCTTCCCGTCACCCCAAGTAGAGCGAGAGAGAGAGAGAGAGATAGAGAAAGTGCTGTGCTTCCCTGCAAGAAGGCGGCGACGGTGGGCCGTAGCACATGTTTTCATTCAAAAAGCATGCTACGATATGCTACGCAAGCGCCGGCAATCCAAACCCAACCGCAAGTCATGCCTGCTTCATTTCCATTTTGGGGCCCAGGTTTCCGGGAGATTCGGCGATACGCGGCGATACGACCCGGAAAAGAACGACAGGCTCCCCCGAAACCGTCGCGGCAGTCGGTACGGCTAACCTGTCCTAGCGGCACGGCCATCACGGTGAGTGACCACAGCCGTGTCCATGGAATGGCTAGGTTCGCAGGCATAGCCAGAACAAGTATCGCAGCTCAGAACTGCCAACAACCAGCCGTGTTCGCGTGCTCCCACCCTACCGCCCGACACGCTCATTTCTTTTTCCTCCGAAGTGGTTGGTTCCGGGGTTTCACCTTGATGGGTTGCCCCACTCAAAACCCTTCAAAGCCCTCACCTGCTCACCGCGACCGGGCAGCCGGACTATGCCGCAATTGGGCAGCACACACTTTTTCTTACACCGGCGCCCTGGTCGCGACACCGTCAGGCGCGGAAACATGTTCCGCCCAAGCGGTCGTTGCGGAATTTGCCCCGCCAAACCAAGCTGCGATGACCGATGCAGCACCCCTGTTTCAGCATACTGCACCATCATCTTTGTGGACTCGTGCGCCCCATCGCTCCGGTCCTGCGCACGCAGCATCACCGCCCGGCAACTGCCAGCGCCATCGCGTAGGAGGCACTGGCTGCTCTCACGACAGGGGCGTCGCGGAGGTCGCGTTTTCCAGCTCAGCGCCCCAGCGAGATATAACGTTTTCAACGCGCCCATACCAGGATAGCACCCATCACAGGGAGCGAGTGGGAGCCAAAGTGACAACCCATGCTCGTCCACCAGCCCGTGGCCCTGCGCCGCAGCGTAGTGGCAGTGGTCAGCCCCAACATGCCAGCGTCGGCCAGGAACCAGGGGAGCAGCAGCCACAGGAGAGGGCTGCATGGGCGTTCTGGGCCTTAAGTCGCGCAAAAGTAGTCCCACCTGCGTCGACTCGACCACCGTCAAGGCCCGGGGGCCACGACGTAGCCGGGTTCTCCCACCGTACCTGAGGCTGGAGTGGCGACGACAGCCCAACCGCGAGGGGTCCACAGGGAATACTCCCAATAAGGATCCGAAGACTGGGAACACCACACCAAACTATGGCATCGAGCCCCACCCAACCCGCCACTGTGGTGATGCCGTTGAGCTGCTCCTGCATCGAGAAACGGATCTTGTCCTTGGCCCCCGAGGACCCTAGACCTGCGATGGCACCTGATGGCACCTGAAAAACGCCCCTCGAGCCAGAGCTCGGACGGAACAAAGATCAAGGAGGCACCAGCCTCCAGCAAACATTCGGTTGTTATTTATAGCGCTTCGTGCAATTCACGACGAAACCCTCTGAAGAAAACCATTCGGCGAAGCCTGGACAAACATGCACGTTGGTGGCCTTGCTGGCCCTAGGATCCTTGTCAAGTGGTTCACATAATTTTTCGTGACATCCCACAAGAAAACTGGACTTGCCTCTAGCTTGCTCGTTCAAGGTGCCTTCGTTGGCGGAAGTCTTATCAGGCCACGTACCTTTCTGCTCATTTCACCTGAAACATACCTCAATGCCTGGCGACGACGGTGGACCACTGACCGAATGCCTCAGCATGATTAAGCGACGAACTGTGCGCTGCCATACGATGCCACCCCATGACGCAACTAAAACATAACTACAACATCCTGCACGTTGACCAACGTGCAGAAGCGCAGGCAAAGCATCAGCCGGAGGAAAACTCGGACACTGCTGGAGGGTGATCTCTTATCGCACCGTCAAAGGGTATCAAAGGGTGCTGCAAGTAACGAATGTGTGAGCATCCATCCTTGTGCCGGCGGTTGCCTGAAAGATATGGGTACTCGACACGACTATGCACGGTGAAGTCATGTGCTCAGTTCAGTTCCTGATGGAAAGGTGAGCGAAAGATCCCGGGTGCAGACTCTTGAGGCGCTGGCCGACTACAGTCTGCCCACAAGCTGGAGAAACCGACAGAAGGTGTCGCCTTTCAAGCTTCAATCACTTATTCAGCTGGAGGCAACAGGAGTTGTTGCAGCCCTTTGAGAAACGTCGCGGCTACCCACAACAGTTCTCTCGAGCTTACAACGGCAACTTGCTCTGGATGATTCACAGGGCCAATCGTCTTGACGGCTCACAGAACTGGGGACTGCGCCCATCAGGTCCTTGGTCTGCACCCAAGTGCCCATCCTTGGCAAACCTGGCCCGGAGTGTTTGAAGTTCCTTCCCGAAGAGTTTACGGCTGTTCTCTCATACCTGAATTTCGCAAAGCTTCTGAACAGTAGTGCTTGTTGGGACTTCGGCATCCTACCACATCTAGGCTTGACTCTGTCCTGCCAGCCTGGCAAGCTTCGCATCTTTTCTCAACCATCGTTCCAAAATCCACTTCTGGAAAGTGTCCTGGGACATCGAAAATGCGCCACAAGCGCAGCAAGCCAGCATGAGCCATTCCTCTTCAACTGGAATGCCCGACGGATCCAGCTTCTGGACATGAACCTGAGAAGATTGAAGGCATTCTGTGTTTTCACCCCTTGCACTGCACACTTGTTCAGACAAACAAATATTTGTATTGTATAATATTGTAATTCTAATCGTAATAATAATCCTAACAGTACTAGTAATAGTAGCAGTAATAATAGGAATTGGAATAGCAGTTTACACGATCTACAGCGCTTGACACTCGCTGAACAGCCAACGATCGCGCCGCATTTTTTTGTGCGACCGCAACGTAGGAGTCGGCCACTGATTAAAACTCGAACATCTCACATCTTCATCATTCCGAACGGATACTCCGATCCGCACCAGATAGCTGGCGATCACTCGGCATTCATCCGAACGAAAACATCAGACGAGATATTCCCCGCAAACAAAAGATAAAACGGCGAGAAACTATAAGTCTTCAATCGGATCCGCAGGGGAGTCCGAATAGACGTCGATCGGCTCCTCGAAAGCAACATCACGCCGAAGGGCAGCGAAAGCCTTTGGCTTAAGCCACGGAGCACCCAGAGGAGCCGGATCTGCTCTTTCCACACTCGGAGCAGGCGACGACTCGGTCTGATGTACTGAACTACGGGACTTCCCTCTGACACACTCGTAAGTCTTCATGAAAATCCTCTTGAGTGTGACAAAATCATACAGAATCAAACTGTCTCCCATGGCAAGTGTCCATGGTCTGGGCCTCGATCTGTAGCTTGTCGTTCTGTGCCACACAGCACACTTCCGCATCATGTTCAAGACAAGGTGGAAACTCCGGATCACTCTCTAGCTCAAGAACATCTGCCTCAGCATTTAGAGGAGGTCTTCGCTCGTGCCATTGGGAATCGGACGGCTCTGGAACTCCAGCTCTTCGGCCGCCACAACATCCCGGCGGGCCTTCCGGCCTGGGTGTTGAAGGAGCTCCTGGGTGAGATCCACTGTCCACTGGATGGCGCTGCACCCTTGTGCATAATACATAAGAGATGCGGACTTCGCGGGAAGAGAAGATTTCGGCTTCTCGTCGTTGTGCTTCGGACAGAGATCCTGGTACTCCAGTACTCCATGTTCGGCTTGGGGTTCGACGGATACCCGTCCGCAGACGCGTCGGGAACAATCGCTAGCTCCGCAATGGCCGTCTCCGGAAGACACTGTCGGAGCCTTCGCACTTGCTCCAATCGGCGGAGCGCCGATTGTTCTGCGGCGCGCAGCCCAATTCGTTTGTCCTGCAGCTGTTCCGGGAAGTTCCGGTGGAAGCCCTGCGACCGTCCGAGCCGTGTCTGCGCTCAGCGGTTCCGCCTTCCGGCGTAGTCCATGAGCCCCGATCCTCAGAACGTAGAGCCTCAAGCCGCAAGCCCATTGCACGGCGGCCCCAGTCTCCTCGAATCTCGAGCGGATCCGCACTCTCTGCTCGGCATTACATCTATACTTGCTATTCTGTTTCTGTACTGATATAGTGTGCCACTGCATATGCAGATACTGTGCACATTCCTTGAACCGGCACGTGCAGCATATGTGCAAGTACTCATGTTGCAACATCGGCAGTGCGTGCAGACTCGACCAGAATATCAGCATACCGCACAGCTTCTTTTTTGCTTGCTGGACACGCAGAACTCGCCGCACTTCCTCGGAGGATTTATCGATCAAGCTCTTTGCATTGCGCACAGCACCCAACAAGTCAGACATGATCTTGCGCTTTTTGGGATTAGTAGACTCTGCCTCTGCTAGCATGAGAACCTCTGCGTAGANNTGAACCCGACGACGAACCCGACGACTCGGATGAACTCCTCTCTTTATGATTCTGACGTCAAAGCTCATTGCAGGCGACATACGAATTCAGCAAGGAGCAAGATGGAGCAAGTCGCGAAGTCGACATAGGAGACGAGTCTCCGAGTCACGACTTCACCAATTCACCAACTCACCAATTCACCAATTCACCAATCCTCCTCCCCTTGGGGAGGAAGCATGGGTGCATTGGTGAATTGGTGAGTTGGTGAATTGGTGAACTGTTGAAGTTTGACTTGGATTTCCAAACACCCCGCACACAAGCTGAAACCCCAAACGTGTACCAGAACGATGTTGAAAGATGCATCATGTACACCCAAACAGGTGTCCACGACACGCCCTTCTGTAAAGCAACCTGTGAAGCCAGGGTCCCCGGGTCCTACGGCAAAGGCCTCGGCGGAGTCAAGCACAGGTGGCGAGGGTCGGGATGGCATGCTGGTCATTTTGCTCTTACTATTACCCTTTGACTTTCCAAAGCGCTTGCCCTTCCCCTTCTTGCCCTTGAGATGTGGGGCGAAGGGGTAGAACCCTCGACTCAAAGACTTGGCCTCCACAGCCTGCCGAGCCTGAGTGAAAGATCTCACCTTCGCTTCCGCGGCGCTGGAAGCTTCCTCGATCTCACGTTGTTGCTCCGAAGTCAGCTCCTGGAGCTCGGTCCGGGAGTGATTCCAACTCCAGAAGACGCCGGCAGCATCCTCATTAATGGCCACGGTCACGGCTGTTCTTCCGATCGCGAAAACTGGTTCCTAATTCCTAACCAAGCAGACCGATAATTAGGAAACGAATAGGACTGGGAATAAGAATAGTAATCGTAATTATAGTATAGTATAGTCTAGTATCCTATAGTGAAGTAATATAGTATCGATTAGAAAATATAGTACAGCACAGTATAGCAGGGCATGCTATAGTATAGTATGGTACGGTAGAGTAAACTGCGGTGTGTATGTATGTATGTATGTATGTATGTATGTATGTATGTATGTGTGTATGCGTGTATATATATATATGTATGTGTATGTGTATACATATATATATATAGAAGGAAGGCAAAAATGCGTCCTAGGAAACGCAGCGACACAAGCAAGGGAGGCCGGAGGGAAGGGAGAAAGGAAGGCGCAACGGAATCGGGAGAGAAGGAGGGGAGGAGGGACCCCGGTAAATTGCTGCGTCTTTGAAGCTTACCGCAGAAGGTATGATTGAGCTGCTGGGTCGAGGTAATGTTTGTACTCATATGTACAGTAGCACACATGTTTCCACTACATACGCGTCATTATGCACCTACTGCTAGTACATGAAGCTCTTGCTTGAATGAGAAGAAAAACCGAAGAGAAAGCGGACTTTTCAGCACCGCTCTGAATTCCTACGACAAGCATGTGCAGGCCCTTATGTACAAAAATGAAGAAGACTGCCAAGGAATGTCAAGTGCATGGCGTGCAGCTGCACAGAACCAGACCGTGCAGTTGTTGCATGCTAGACTTGGGCTGCGCGTCTGCGCGATGCTGTTGCAGAGGCAAAAATGCATCTCACACGTGGCGCAAATGAGGCTATGTTGCATTTGGAGATTCCTGGTCTGACAGCATACATTGAAACCTACATCCACTCGCAGCGGCCAGACAAGACGCGCACATGAAACTCAGCTGGGATGCCCTGGGCCAGCGTCAGGATGTTGGCCTGGTTCTGAACCACTCATGACTCATGGCATGTCGCCCCAGACATGTCAATGTGTGGTTGCAGAACCGAATACGAATTTGTTCACGGCCTTTCCATTCTCACTTTGAACCACGGTGATATCATATACCTGTCACGATTCGTGGTCGCCAAAGCTCACCAATGGCAAACAAATGCTGCCGGGCATGTATGCTCACGAGCTCACGATCCCATGATTGATCAACTACTTGCGTTACCATGTTCACAGGGTGTAAACTCCTGCAGGTGGTCAAACATGCCAGACCCTCGCAGTCCAGTTGCATCCCGTTGACCGCGCTCCTCAGCAGATCAAGGTGGCTGGTCCCGAGATGCCAACATCATGGTGCGTCAACACCGGGCCCGTTGCCACAATCCCTTTGCACGCGGGCATAGACTGTTTTCCAACCTCGTCTCTGCATTCGGAAGCAAAGTCGACATGTGTTGCCTCCAACAATGTGTCGGCTAGTCTGACATTCATGTAGTGGTGGGACTCTTTTGAATGGCAACACCACTACAACTTAGCCACAAATGGGGAGCATTGAGCTTCAAGGCCGAATGACCGAACCTAAGAAAGCCCAACACTTCTGCACTTCAAATACTATCAACTACAGTCAACATGACATGCTAGAAACACAAATTGCCAGGAAGCACAACATCGCTACCCTCGTGACCGTGCCTCGGATAGCCCTTGGATGCACAAAAGTCCTCGCAGTGCAGATTTTTGCATTGTGACAACTGCTGAAATGCAACACTATACTACCAAAATCATGCTGCACCTACCCTACCAGGTGCTTTCACGAACCCTGTGTACTTGGTAACTACTCACTGCATGTCGATCCTGGCTGTCACGTAGCTTCTCCGGTGTCAGCCGAGTGCCTTCCGGAAAGATGGTCAGCGTGTAGGGAATATCCTGCACGAACACGGCCGAAGGGTTTCTGGTCCGAAGGGCGAAGTCTTTGAAGCAACTTTCTGAGCGCTGAGCCCATTGTCTGTACTCGTGCTGACGCTGGTAACCTTACAACCGCCAGCTCCCGAAACTGCATCAACGAGACTGACTGTATCGTTTACTTATACACCATTTGCAACCGAAGCACCAGCGTCCAGCTTGCGCCTGTCGGACTGCCAGTTCCTGTGTCGAGGAGGCTCTTGTCCGAGAATGCCAAGCTCCCAGCAACTGCAGCATGCCTGTTGATGCAGATGAAGTCCGCCGACCACCTGTCAGCAGTGACGGCTGTCAGATGTATGTAAGTGTATGCTTCCAAATTCGTCCCGCCAGGCAAAGCCGAAGAGGGGCAAGAAGACGAGTTCCTGCTTCACGATGGCCTTGCAACAGCCTGCGAGGAAGTCACTGCAGGCCCACTCCGATTGAGTATTCCTTGTTGTTACTCCTACTGATTCTTGCATATTCTTGCTTCGGCCTAGATCGTTTCATGATTCTATATTTGCTTCGACATACTCATTGCTTCTACTTTCTGTAGTAATTCCTTCCCATGCTGGTTCATTCCTTCGTTTTTTGTTGCCGTTCGCCTGCCGGCTCTGCTGCTGTCACTTGCGTTTGTTTTCTTGCCTCTTTTCCGAGTCGCTGATGCTGCCTCCACTAAACACCAAGTGCATGCACGATCCCAGTCTAGCCTTCCGAGATTACTCACTGAGCCACTGTGCGAAACACCAGAGACAAACGAAACGCTGCCTAGTCCGCCACCATTGTCCTCCACCTGTAAGAGAGCGCAGGTTGTCTGCCAGCCGAAGACGCATGCAGCAGATGATCGAAGCCAAAAGCGGAAGTGCATAAACCTGTCCCTGCAGTCGGGTAAACAAAACACTAGAGTAAGACGAATACAAGCTGCACAAAGCATACCTTTTAATGCTTCAACGCGGCATAAACTCGATTCGGGTCATTTCGAGTTCACACAGATGGAACATACAGACTTTGCCACTTTGAGCGCAGACACCAGCATGTTGTGTGCACTGAAAGATGCGGAAGGGAACTGATCCTATGCAGATGGTTGGACGTCGATGGCAGAGCAGAGGCTTCCACCCCCAGCTCTTCCTTCTAGAAACTTGCATATCCCAGACTTTAGGGGTACTTTAAGAAAGAGCAGGTGTACTGCATGTGCGCCGGTCCCAAATGTCCCAAACCCATATATACGAGTACTGTCCGCTGCCGTCCGCTGCCCTGGTCAAAACACATGCCGGTGCTGGCCAACAGGCCGATGAGCCAGTCGAGGTCTCCGCGATGGTTCGAGAAGATCATGGACTGGCTACAAGACTTGTCCTTGTGGTACACAGACGATTGAAATGGAGCAGGCCTGATTGTAACCCAAAGTGTGCAGGACATCCGCCTCAAGTACGGCAGCACAGGAAGCCCCACAATTGTCGCACCCAAGCGTTTTCTGGTGGACGTAGCCAGCCACAAGGCAGCTATGTTGAGCAGGCACCTTGACGTCGCCCTCGCCATAGATGTACACCCTGCAAGCAGCTTCTTCCGACTGCGGGACTTGAAATGCAAAGGCCCTCAAGCACAGTCGTCACCAAACCAGCCACTGATGTGTGCCAATACAAAGATAAACGGATAGTTGGCCATGGACTTGGCCTGCTACCAGAGTACTCCATCAAGAACAGGAAAGGCCTGCCAGATTGGCGAGATGTATAGCAACTTCAAGTCATACTGATCTGAAACCTGAAGCATCTAAAGAGCAGCCGCACTTGCCATTGACCTCCGCATGACACTGGAGGGAAATGCGTTCACACGCCAACATTCCATGAACTTCCCCGTAGCACAAACACAAGGGTAGTTCTCTAAATTAGGGTGCCGTTTTGGGTCCCAGAAATAGTGCGGCACCCACAGAAAGGACCCTCAAAGGGACCCTAAGTTGGAGAACAACCCACATGCACAAGCTGACATTGAAGCTCCGGGGCTCACGTCAAGTCATCCCTTGGTGCTTCTGTCCCTACCAAGGGTCCCTCCACGAATCGAAGCGAACGGCGACTTGTTGCACTATTGCACAGGCTTCACATGCTCTGCACCCGCTTCTGTGCGACAAGGTGGTAATTATCACTGTCGCCGGATTCGAGGCTCGTAACTGGAATTCTCGCCAATTCTGCATCCTGGCTGCTTGACACGATTCTTCCGGCTCCAGTTTTGCAGTTTAGATACAGGATGAACGTAACGGCGACACTAATGTAGGAAAAGCTGAAAACTCCCGGGATGACTCTCACGACCCCAAACATCGACTGCGGAAGTGTCGACAGGGATCCCCAGCTAGTACAAATTCTGTTGTCTGTTCGCCTTCGTCGTCTTCCTTGTCTGCATGCATAGGACGACCAAGTGAGAGGAAACAGAATGAGTCCAGTGCTTATTTTACAGCTCAAGCGTACATGGAGACGGCCCTGGCCAGTAGTTCTATGCGAGGTGTCTCATCAACAGTGGCATCGCACGCGAAACACTCGGATGCTCGCCAAAAACGGCGGGTCAACATCTTGTGCTCCGCTCGCGACCTTCTACATGTAGTTCTGATGATGACGAGTTTAAACAGAAAGCGCCTTCTAACATTGATTGTTCGCTGTTCGGCGCTCGACCGGTGCTTGCATGATCACTCCCTGTCTTTGGTCTCTGACCCTCACACCAGCTTGTTACTTGCCCATGGTGCTGGACACAGTTCGGGGTGTACGTGCATCGACACGTGACACGTCAACACTTATAGCATCTTTTCGACACTGCTTGATGGATGTGAAAATTCAGACGGACGTGCAGCAGCATGTGCTTAAGAAGACACGAACTATCGTGATTCCGCCTGCCTACCCGCCTGCCATGGACCTTGGAACGTAGCTTGAGGGTCTGCGTCCAAGTTCGGCTTCTCGGAACCAGGTTTTCTACAGGTTCAATCTGCAGTCTGTTCACTTGGCGTGTCCGACTTTGACATGGCGCAAAATACACATCTTCAAGTGCATGAGTTGTGTTGCAGCCACGTACAGAAGTCCATGCAGGTATGATACCGCACTTCTGTTGCATGCTGTTTGTCAGCACGGTTGTAGCAATCTGAACTTTACTCTGGAACCTTGTCACATACTGATGGTTTGACCTTCTCGGAGGCTTGAGTATGGTTCGGCATCGCAAGCATCGAAAGAACATGGACATTGGATCTGGCAATTTACGTCTGTGTGCGAGCCCAAGGCTCAGCTTCGATTGCATCGCCGGGTGGAACCCTTGAAAAAGAAACTGGGAATGCGAAAGTTCTGAGGCAGGAGACGTGGCATGAGATAAGGGATATTGTCCAACGAAGTTTCTCCATCTTGTGGAAAGCGAAGCTCGATGCAAGAGACCGGACGACTGGGACGTCAAGTGTGTGTGTGTGTGTGTGT